ATTGATGCTTGTGTTTTTGTAAAGGACCTTCAATGTACTAACCTTAAACACCTCCTTGTTTTCATGTACTTTTATTAAATGTATGTACACAATAACTTTTATTGAAACATTTTTAATTGTTTTAATTTATTACTTTTAATCCTAAGGTGGTCTATTTTGCATTGTGACACATTGTACACAAAGAAAGCTATGTAATGCAACGCGAAAAAATGGGGATTTTTGACAGAAAACTTTTATTATAGGGCCATAGTAACGAAAATTAGGATAAATCTAGTTCCTAAAAATGGGGGAAAATGCTCTAACACAAGGTGAAGCCAGAATCCATGTTATGTGGATCCTTGATACCGAAAAATCGATTGACCAACCGTCTGTGAACAACGCTAGCGGGCTAAACCGTTCAGGCAATTTTCTCCAAAATTGATACGACCTCAATCTACTTGGCTGATGCCGCGGCCCCTTGAATTTGAAATCTATATTTTAATTCTAGAGGGCACTAGGGAATAATAAAGAAAAAATTCCTATAGTTAAAGATACCATGAACACATTACTAATAGATCGGGAAAAAGCAAACGCATTTAATACCTACTTCAGTTCCGTTTTTAAAACAAAATCTCATCACACTCAGATATCGAGGGAGGCTGTACCAAATAATTTTAACATAGACGTCAATTCATTGCGAAAGCGAATTAAATCTATGAAAAATGGAAAGTCGCGGGATCCAGATGCCATTTCAGCGAACATCATTAAACTCAGTGGAGAGGCAATTTCAGCTAATCTAACAAGATTATTTCATAGTTCGATTAACAATTCAAGCGTGCTCGAAGATTGGAAACTAGTTACTGTTCCTATTTTTAAGAATGGTGACAGAACTGTTTTAGTCAATTATAGACCGGTAAGTCTTACGTCAGTTGTATGTAAGCTAATGGAACATTTGATAACTAGCTATATCAGACAAGAATTGGAACAAACAGAATGTCTATTTCAGGGACAGCATGGTTTTAGGAATGGTTTCTCTTGCGAGAGTCAGATAGTATGATTGTTTCAGGATATAGAAAATGAAGTTAATGATAGTGGGAGGGTGGATGCCACAATAATAGATTTTGCAACTGCATTTGATGTTGTCCCACACGATAAACTGATCTTAAATTAATGCATTCGGGTATTGACACCTGAAGTGTGGTGTGGATTGATAAGCTTCACGTTAACCATCACGTTAGGGGCCCCAAATACCGTAAAAGATACCATTTAGGCAGCGATAATATTCCAAAAGTCTTGTCTTGTAAGTACCTGTGAACAATTTTTGATAGCAAATTGAATTGGGAAAATCAGGTAAACATTGTCATAGGAAAAGCCTGGTGGCCTTTGCATTTTACTATGGAGTACTAGAAAGGAGTACGAACTGCGAAAGCGAGAGAATTAGCTTACTTATCTCTAGTTCGTTCATTAATGGAATACGGGGCGTTTTGTTGGTACCATTACAGATATTCACAGAAGGAATATTTGAATAGAGTACAGAGAAGGGCGTGTAAACTTACTTCCCGCAGCAATAGGAAGAAAGTAGAATGGGAGTCTCTAGAAATCATGTTTAAGGTAAGACTCTGTGCCCTGTACGAGTACAAAGTGTATGCTGGTTATCCAGCATGGAAAGATTTCTACATTCGACTTGATAGACCTACTTTCTTTAGTAGAGGAGATCACAAGCACAAAATTCAGTTCAGGTCACAGAGAACAATTTTGGAAAATTTTTTTTCACAAATAGAGCAATAACGGACTAGAATAAGTTGCCTGCGGCAGCCGTGGAGCTCTTTCCTCTAGGTGTACAAAGATTGAAAAGTGTATTAACTCGATATATAGAAACTTAATTAATTAGTAAGTTAGGCTTATTAGAACAATTATTTTATTAGTAGTAGTATTGTGATAATTACTATTAAATGCATTGTTTAATTACATATATAATTCTATTTAAAGTTGTATTTGAGTGTCGTGATGTGTTGTGAAATAAAGTGCTGTTCATTTAAAACGTCGTGTATTTATTGATTACAATATCTGTGCAGAACAGGCATAAAATATAGATTTAATGCTATTATTATTATTGCATTTATTATCATATTATTACAATTATTGTCTTAAAATAATTTAAAATTACATTGTATTAATATTCCTAATTGTAATTTGTATATTGTAGTGTTCTGCCACCATGAAGTAAAGTAGATATTTATTATTTCTGCAGGTAGTTTATACAACAAGTCCCAAGGACATTCAATTTTTTTTCAGAAAAATTGCTCCATCGTTTTTAATAAATTTTGTTGTTGGATAGATTGAATGACATTGTTTTTTGGACAACACAACAATTTTCATTACAAATGTGTAATAAATACTCAAATAAATGCACAGAACTGTTGCAGCCACTTTCAAAGTGTAAGTGATTTAAAATGGTAAACATGGTTTTAATGTTTGTTAACTACAGCTCAAAATTCAAAAAAAATCTGAAAAAACATTCGTTTTGTGTTTTAAGAACTTTTGAGATTTTTTCAAGCCTATTCCAGGGTTCTAAAACAATTTTATAAGTTCATATAGCTTATATTGTTATTATATTGTTCATATATATTGAATTTGACACTGAGAAAAGATCAAAAAATGTTTTATCTGAAAGCATAAATGATTTTGTTATTTTTCATATTTTTTTAACCATATAAAATAGTATTAACAAAAAAAATTAAAAAGACACATTTTTGGCTGTAGAGGAGAGTGAGTGGTGGGACAAGGCCAAAGAAATCTATCTAAAATATTGTTTATGTTAGAATTATATTGTAACTAATATGCCATTTTGTTTAGGAGAATTATTTACCATTTTAAGGAGTGGGAGCTTTTGCCCCCTCCCCAATAAAAAATCCAAAATCCCACGACTGCTAGGAATTATACCATAGAGAAACTAGGTACACTATTCATTCTCTAGGGTGATACAAATATGTAAGAGGACAGAGGACATGCATCCTTTGTAGATAGAAGCAAGAAGCGCTAGAGGAAATCAGGTTGCATCCAACAACACACTATGGGCAGTGGGGGGTGGAGGTTCTACAATCCTCTTCCATTATTAAATCATTAAAATTAAAAAAAAAATTGGGAAACCATTCATTAGCATTGAGAATCTTCCATAAGAAGACAACACAAGTATTTGGGCAAATTACAAAATATTACAACTGACCATAGTACTCTTTAATAACTATATTCTGTGGAAAGAAAAAAAAATGCTGTATTTCTTCACCCAACTGTTAGAAAATATTTACTTAAGAGCGGGGGTTGTAAATCGTTTGGGTGTCTGGATTAACTAGGGTACTCTCAAGATATTTGTAGAAACTTTTTCAACTTGAAGTTGCAAATTCCACTTCATAATGTGCATGTTTGAAGTAAATTGCAGCGATGACCTAATTTCACAACTGTATGTAAACAGTAAATAAAGTAGGGTTGTTTACGTTCTTCATGTATTTAATCCAAGATTTTTGCAGTATAATCAATTGTCGAATCGCAGGTATCATCCACAGTTTCTTGCTTAGGACTCTCCTCTACCTATTCCAAATGGGACTTGCTGTAGTGAGGATAGTAGTTTTGAGGACCTTCCAAAATATGAGCCAAAACACTTCTTCCAGAAAACCAATTTCCGGCACAACATAAAAAAATCATAGACTCTATAAACACTAATATACAATGTTATTCTTCAGATATGTAATAAATAAGTAAGGAATTAGTACTAAGAACATTAATCCTAACTAAATTGGAAGTATATGGTTACAATGACTATTATTACTACTTCTACCAGTGTTTTGGCTCATATTTTTGAACACTATTTTAATCTTAATCATGTACTCCTAGTATATGGGTGATCATGCCAGTTCTCGTGGCACAGAGTTGTGAAGTGTGTTGTTATATTTATATAATACTCTACCCGAGTAAGATATGTTTCTATTGTTTTTTATTTATGTTTTAAAAAATTTTGTGTTATTAGTGTGTGCTTCAAACAATTAGTTATACATTGTTCTGTGTTGTCAAAGAATTTTGCCTTTATGATGGAGAAATAAACTCTGCAATGTTGGCAAACTGAAATAAACTGTCTTATTTTGACCAAAACCCATTAACTACAAAATGGATTATACTACAAATGGTCATAAAATACAGGATACATACAAATTGTGTATTTACCATTAAATTATCATCATGAGGACGTAAAAACTTTTTGCCTGAACTGTCATATTTTCTCTCCTTATTGAAAACAATCATTAACATCATCAGTTTCGTCACTACAATATTCATCTTCACATGTATCATTGTTTCTTTCTTTCTGGTCATCCTTCCATTCTAGGTTGTCACCCAATTTTTCAGGCCCCAGAAAATTATTGTGTATTGAATTTGCATTGTCATACGATGTCATCAAAAAACATTCCCTTCTGTTAGCACTGACATTCTTCCTCTCGCTTGTTTGTGGCCTAATTTTTAATAATTAACTATAAATTCACATGACCAGGTTGTGAACTGACATGTCATACATCTCTACAGAATTGCACTTACCGGACACCAAACCAAAAGTTTCTGTGGCCTCATCCGTTGGGCCACAAAACCTCAACAATGTTTTTTTTTTATAAATTCTTGGCTATGAGGGAGACATCGCATCGCTGGCTGGGAGGTCAACAATGCAGCGTCTCCCAGATAGCCAAGAATTTATGGACTCAAGCTGTCGAAGCTTACATCTGCAATGATTTTTTCCATTTTCACATTGTGTGATCACTTATTACAATGCTGTTCATTTTAGATTCTCTCTTTGCCAGCTCTTAAAAAATATGGTCTGATTCGCCTGGCAATTCTGTATTGGATGCCAAGATTTTGTCTGCAAATATAAATAGTAGGTATAAAGGATACACATGGTATTTATCAACTTTGCAGCTTATAAGTCAGTATTTGGATTTCTTAGGGAGAGGAGGTGTAAAAACAGAATCCCAATTGTCTAGTCTTCATATGAGAATATATGTTGAAACCATATTTTCTGAATGAGATATTAAGAATAACTCAAGTTTTAATTATTAAATACAGTACATACCAGATCTTCCAGGCTCCATTCATAAATTAATGTTTCCTTCGTACATGAATTTTATGTACCCAAACATCAACATCATATTATCCACTTTTTTTTCACTTGAGTAGTTGAAATTGCCTGCTATTCACATTCTGAATTTGATAATGCTCTATCTTTTATCTTAGGATTGACAAAAGTGTATAAATTATGTAAATAAGTATGTCAAATACATTTTTATTATGTTTTTATTCTGCTCACTATATCACAGAATTAAGGGCTGTACAATTCATAAAAAATCAGTATTTCAATAGAAAGTCTATTTTTAAGTTCATAATTACAAATCATCCCTTATTCTACTGTTACATTGAGAATTTCTCTTGATATATTTTGCAGTACTGTGGAAAAAATTATGTCCTATTATTTATTAAACAATTATAGAAAAGCAACTTTTAGAAAATTTTAGAATACCATTCACTGTAATTGAAAATGTACTAATTTTATAGTAAATGATTCTCAAACCTCTATTTTACATTTTACAATCTTTATTACTTACAAGTGTTTGAAAGTTTAGAGGAAGAAAATGTTTCATTTTCAAGAGGAAAAATGTACAGGAAAAATATAACATTGGCAATACTGCACAATGTAGAATCACTCAAACACCGTAAATCCAAACAAATCATCAAAATTTGTTATGATACAAGTAATTTAAACTGAATAAAGAATTGTTTCCTCAAGGAACTTTCTCTCCAAACACATTTAATTAAACAGCAAGAAGCTGTTTATAATGCAAGAAACATTCACTTGTCACACATACAGCACACACTAGCAATAAGTTATCATACATGGTTGAATGAATTACCTACTAAATTGCAGCATGTAAAGCATACCAATTAAAATTTGATTGAAGGGACTTCATAGTGCCATACCACGACCCTCAATTGAAATAGTAACAGCTCGCCTTGCTTGTTTGCTCCTCTTAGCATCAATATAATTCTTCATGTGCTTTTCAAAACGGTTCAGCTGTTTCTTTGTAGTCTGTAAGAGTATTAAGCAAAAACAAATTCAAAATTAAATAAATGCAAAAGAGTAAGAAATGAAATATATATGTAATGTATGAGAGAACACTTTACATACCCTACTGATGTCAGTATCATTTTCCCATTTTGGTCTCACAACATAATCTTTATTCGATGGACGAGGAACTCGTGCTCTTGCTACCCAGCCTTTATCTCCAGGGCGCAAAGGCCTAAACAAAACAAAAAAATAATGTGCACAGCACAAGATACTCGAGACAATTTGTTTATCCAGCCCTGGGCAGCTTAGGAACAGATTTATCCACTAGCTATACAAACAACTCAAAGCATCAAACAGAATTTTGTAATTTCAAAAAATCTTAGAGGTTTTTATAAAAATCATATTTTTGCCAGGTTAGTGACCTTTGCTTTATTTGAGCAAACATTTTTGAAGAACAATTGAGAACCCTCTGAAAAAAAAATTGTTCACGTAATTTTTTGTTGTCAAGACTCCACTCAAAATTACCTGAAAACTATTCTCATTTTCAAAAAAATTGTTTAAGACATTTTATTCTGACGAACAGATTTCATTAAGAAAATATAATAATTTATTAGTGAATTCATTAGTGAAGTTCCAAGAAGTTGCTAAAAACTTTGTAATTTTGGACAATTCAAGGGATTTCACCGAAAACCAGATGAAGCTATTTTTCTATACAAAACAAGCACCCGAAACGATGGGCAACAAAATTTGCATGATCCTTCAGTATCTCGTCCCCATTCCACATTTTAGGGTAGGGTGATAGGCCAGTCACCTATCCTCCTATGAACCAACCCACATGACAAATGATACAGATCCTACACGAAGCTTACGCGCACCTTGGTGGGTGAGGGGTTAGCCTCACTGGCCTCTGAATCCCAAGTGGGTGGGTTTGATATCCACAGTAGCCATGCTACTCTTGTGGCATAGTTGTGTAGATAAAAAGACCCTGGCAAATGCCCAGAAAAATTAAATTCCTCCAACAATATCCAACACAAAGGAGATATCACTTTCTCCCAAACAAAGAGTTCAAGTAGAGTTAACCGAAACAGGCATCGAGAGGAGAAAGTTTGGCACACCCGAGGCACATCAGGGGACTGCCTGCAATGTGTACCTGCTCAAGTGTCCCAAGACCTGCATCGTAGGCAGACTTTCAAGAAAGCCTTGGTCGAAAAAGAGCCATGCATCCAATTGCTTTAAATATCCTCTCAGGGGGATCACCAAGGATCGCACGGCATACATATGTCTCCCCAGATGGGCTCTGTGACCCTTGGTAGAAAAACCAGAACAAGAAGATTGCACTCACTTGTCCTGTTCTCCGGGAGCTAATGCTTTTGTTAAGTCTTCCCGTCCTTTAGGAGATGGTTGTTCCTCCTCCTCTTCCGTTGTGCGACGGCGTTTTGGCATCTGCTCAATATCTCTTTGAACCCTTTCTTCTTTAGACATTGCTAAAAGCAATTAAATTTTATTAATAATCTGTTATTCCATAAGAAATTTAAAGAATTCTTGTTTAATACAATAAATGAGAAAATGTTTGATAAGCCAAAACATTATACCAAAAGATATTTAATCCTTTGGCATTGTGATAAACAAGCTGTTATCTGTGTCTAATAAATAAAATTCATACCATTCATTTCTTTCAAAATATTTTGTTATATACCACTTTTTTTTTTAATTGAAAATGACCTTGAATGTAAAATATTTTGAAAATTAAAGATTTATAGGCTTTGCCCACAGACTTGTTTGCCTTAGCAATGTATTTTGCACAATTAATTATGTAAAAGAGTATTACACATTATAAAACCTTATTAATATTTATGTTTACTAAATTACAAATTAGTAAAACATATTTGTATTACAATTAGAGAACAGATTTTCACATAAATACATACTTTTACTGGAACAAGGTACTTACATTCAATAGTATTTGAGTTTAGAATATGAATGAAGTAGAACTATTTTTATTTTACATTTTTTACTTATTGCTACATTCTATTTCTTTACATTTTAATATATTTGTCCAGAACACTTCAGATCCGAGTTTGCAATGTATGCCACTGGAATCTTGCTTCTTACAAAGCCATGAAATGCTACTGTGCTTCAATGAGCACTCGACTTTTGCAATGAACTGTGAAACTTACACCTCCATGCTTCTTAGAAACCAGGTACTCAAAATCAAGGATAAGCAAATGTTTGTGAAGATGAAATAATTTCCACTGCATCAATCACAACTATTTCATAGAGGCAAAGCCTAACTCAATCGGAAACAACTATTTTCATAGATCATTCTTTTATCACAATCTGGGATGCGGGGGTATGTCCCCTCCCCTCCCCCTCTGGGATCTATCACTAGCTCCACGGTACTTCACATGAGCACTGGCTTCTCAACACTGTTTGTACTAGGAACGTCTTTTATACTTTGAATAAAACTCTTGCATGTGGTTGCATCAAGGATGCTCAAGATATGGAAGAAGAAATGTTTAAGAAATTATTAGACGAATACAAGATATAGAGACAAAAAATTAATTTAAACGGAAAATACATTTTATATGGGGGTGTGGAGTAAATGATAAAGATTTAATTTTACAATATGGGAAGAAAAAAAGAAATTAAATGTTGTTCAGAATTTTAATATTTTGGAGTAGAAATAAATAAGGATGGAAATCAAGAAGTTGATGTAAGACATAGAATAAACAAATTAAGATCAGCAACATCAATGCTAAATGAAATATTATGGGATAACAAAAACTAAATTAAAGAGATACAAAAATGAGATAAAATAAGAAATTTAAAAAAAAAAGAGAAAAAATTAATAAAGTTCATACAATTTTAGAAACTATCCAATAAAAACAATTACAATCGTTTGAACAAATTACAAGAATGAGAGAAAATAGAATTTCAAAAATAATTTTAGAGTGGTATGGAAAAGGGGAATACCTAAACATAGTTGGTTGAGAGAAACTGAGAGACTTTTGAAAGAGAAGAATTTAATACACAGAATTACAAAGATCGAGACAAGTGGAAAAAGTATATTAAAATTATTTGAAGTATTAAGAGTTGTTGGGTAATAGATAGGATTTTTTTTAACAATGTAAAACTGTGAAATAAATAAATAACTTAGAATTATGTACGATCAAAAGTTAATGTCAGTAATTTATTGTTTAACCAAAGTTCAGTAATTTGTCATTACAAACCCATAACAAGTATTTTGGCTGGTTATGAACATTGCACGATGTTCACTTGTTTTCAAACACACTCACCACTTAGCCCTACCAACCTAACAAAAACAAGAGGGCAAGATATTTTTGTAAAAAAATACAATTTTTTTGTGTAAAAAAAAATCAACACTTCCAACAGAATAAAAATACTTTCATTCTACTACAAGTGGTATAAGAGAAAGAATAAATGGATCTTTAAATAGAAGTAAGCAGTTCTGGTTGTCAATTATTTGTCCCTGTGATCAAACAGGCAGGCCAAGGAATGAATAATTCATAGTGCTCCCCATTGCTTCTATAGTGCACAACAGAAATAGTTTTACTGGCATTCCAACTCTATTTTACCTTCATTGCCTCACAGCAAACACTCTTCCCTATCATAGCATGGCTGCATTGTATTGCCATGTACTGAGGATTCCTAATAAGCATCCACTGTGGTCAGAAAAATTTTTAAAATGCTCATTAAATTGAAGCCCTTTAAATTCCATACAAAAGAAATTTTTTCAACTGAAAATTCTAGAATTTCCATAATGGGAAGGGTATGAAAAGTAACCAGGTAGTAGAAGCAATGATCCATGAGTCATATGTTTACATGTTTCATTCCCCAGAAATGCACAAGAGGTTTCAAAATACCATTCATTTGGTTAATTAATTAATTAATATTATTTATTTAAAATCCTATTACGAGCTCTCATACCTAAAAATGTGATTTAATTAATTAATTAAATGAATTTTATTGCACATATACATTTTGGATAGCTTAGTTTAATATATTAAATGGATAAAAAGATAGTTAAAAACCTTTAAAATCTGTTGACAAGTTGAAGATTGGGCGAGCCCATTCATTGATTAACTTCCCAGCACGTTCACGATTTTCTTTAGTTTCTTTGGGATGTTTGTATAAGTACATAACTGCTTTTCCTATTCCAGATTGTTTCAAGGAATCTTGCCCAATACCTGGAAACTACAAGTAACAATAAAGCATTAAAGAAATATATATCAATGAATATTTCAATTAGAATGAAGGAAAAAGTACCTCCCACAGTAACTTGAGAATGCTTTCCCTGATTTTTAGGGATGGCATACTGCGATCAGGCATAGGAGCAAGCCAATCTGTCAAGACCGTTAAAACATTATGTTCAAGGAAAGCCAATTGCAAATCATGTTTCTTCAACTGAGACATAACTTTAGGCAACATTGCAATTTTGTTTGTTGCAGGTTTCCCCAGTCCATTTAACCTTCTATCTTCCTAAAAATAAGAAGCCAAACATGTTTGTTTTTCAATAAGTCACATGTGCACTAAAAATGTCACAGACAATTGTGGTTCTTTAAAACCTACCTCAGCAGCCTGTCTCATATCTGATAATAACATGGCAATTACATCATCATTGTCATTAATCAATTCATAATTTTTTCCTTTCCGCCTCCTGGTCATTTCTTTTTTTCGTTGTAACATTAAGTCAAAGTCAGAAAGTGCATCACCGCCACTATAAAAGAAATTTAATTATATTTAACTGTGCAAAGGTTCACGAGTCATGCTCAAAATTAACAAATAAACTCACTCCCTATCGTCGTCTTTGATTCCTTCATCTGAATCACTGTCAGATACATCTGGAACCACTGCTGCAGGAGCAGCTGAAGCAACCCCATCCGGTGCTAGCTCCCCTTCCACTGCTGGCACTGGCAGCCCCTCAGTTTCCTCAACCTTCCCCTGGTTCCCCTCTTCCTCCTTGCCAACCTCTACATTGACATTTTCGTCTTCTGAGTCAGAAGTCACTTTTTGCTTCTTTTTCTGAGAAGAAAAACAACAGAGAAACATTGATTCTTAAAGTGTCCAAATCCATTAAAACATTGCTATGTAACTAATAAATTATTGCAAAGACCATCCCTCATTGAGATCATACCATCTTGCTAACCACAATTGGTTGAATGTCAAATCTTCCAAAGTTTTCAGGAAAATATTCTCTACCTCTCCCTGTCTTGACCGTCACATTCACAAATGAACAATCATGATATTCCATTTTTCATTAGTCTCATCTCACGACCTATTGCAACTGCTGCAGTTCTCTAGATTGATCACAATGATGTAATAAACAAAAAAGGGAATTTTTTTGACATATGACCTGATGATGGTACTATGACAATATGGGACTGATACCACTATAAGAAAAATTCTTTATACATTTGTCAAATTAACTTTCTGTAAAAATAAATCATTATATGCTGAATATAGCTGTTTGATTCATGATCCGGGGCCCATTAACTGTAGTAGTCATTTGTCCCATTCGTATAGGTCATGATTTATCCGGGGAGGAGGCAATGTTCCTCTCCAGCTGAGACAGGCTCTAAATCCCTGACTAGTCCGACATATTACTGTTGTGGAATGCAGATGCAATTCAAAAAACCTGTTTTGTACAAGAGAGTGCAATTTCATTTTCCCATAACTTCATTTTCTTCCCAAGAATAAGGAATAACATCTTACATATATCAGTAAATTGTTAATGTGTCTTGTTTTGTTTATTTATTAAAATAGATTCCCTAAAAAATTCTAAATTTTATGGCAACATAAAAATAAATTGCAGCCACTGACTATGAAATGGTGATGCATCTGCCACAAGCGGCAATTGGTAAATTTGCGAGAAAGACTTCCTCATAAAGGATTTTCTTTTGAATGGATTCACCTTAAATTTCAATTTTCACTTGGTTTGAGCTACAGCAGCATTCTACAAAACCAATGGTAGTGTAATGGAGTAGTATGAGTAAGGAAAGAAGATGGAAAGATTGTTCACGCTCAGTGGCGCATTTGATAGGGAACTTTGCTGCTATTCCCTTGGTTTTGATAACAGAAATCAGAGAAAGCTACCAATCAGACCAGCCCTCTGCCACTAGCAAATGTGCTTGGGAAATAATTAGTTTCAAAATGTTTACATTCCTTCATTTTATTTAAAATCAATTCAGGAGACAAAATAAAATAATTGACTCTGCAGAAAAATACAGCCAATTAGAGCATCTTTCGCCATACAAATTGTGGGAGAAACAAAGTCAAAGTCCAAAGCACTCAGAGTCACGTTCATCTACTGGTGTTTACATTCTTTTCACATAATGTTAGTCATGCAACAATGCAAAATCTTACTGAAAAATTGTTACCTTGGATATCCCTTCCTGTTCTTCGTCAGAGTCTGCCACATCACTTGCTGCTTTCTCCTTTCCTTCTTCTTCGCCTTCAGAATCTGAGAGCAGAGTTTTCTTTATTTTCCCTTTCCTTTTGCGCTTCTTGTTGCCTATGCTGGTTTCCTCTTCCTCTTCGGAATCGGACATTATTGTTTTCTTTTTCTTCTTATCCAATTGCACATCCAATTTCTCCTCTTCACTACTTTCGTCACCGGATTTTCTACCCTTACCTATAACCAATAAAATAAAACTCAATATCCGAATATCATACTTTATCTCTGAACTCGGAAAACTCTTCAGTTTTAATTTTGATGCTCAAACAAGTACTTTTCCAATATGATACACGAGGAAAGAAAAATGGAAATGTAAGTTCACTGGGGTCATCCATAAATGACGTGGCTCTAGAGGGGTGAGAGTGGGAGGTCATAGTTTATTGTGTTATGTCCTGCTGATATTTATTTTAAAAAATTTTCAACATAAATATTTAAATATAAAAAACCCATCAAGGCACAACTGAAATGATCAATGATTCACCTATATAGAGGGCTCTGAAGAAAATTGATACTGCATTAGAAAATGAGATAAGAGTCAAATAGGCAATAAAGACTGATAGCAAAAGGCTAGTTCACACTATATAGTAAAAACATCAAACTTACGAGAATTTGTGGATCTGTTCATTCTAGCAAAAGAATTGTTAGCAAATAGTGTTTTATGTCAACAGTGAATTATTTTCTGAATATTCAGTTATAAAGTTAAGTATAAAATATCGAAAACGTTTGTCTATTTCTTCTTGTAGAAAAATTAAATCTCAGTTCACCCAGTATATTAAATATCAGTTCTTTAGAACGCTACATGACTGAACATGCTGACTTCACAGTTTCACCAAATCACTCTTAATAACGAAAATACTGGTACCGGTAAAACCAAACCTAACAAGACATATTCATACTTCATTGGATACCTACATTCCCACACAATTAAGAACACAGAACTAGTAGACATTGGCAAAAAGTTGAATGTTTTCACTACATGCATAAAACACAATCTTCATTGGAATCACACAACTATTAACATTACTTATAGTTATTCTGCAAGAGTGAATCTTGAATTAATAATTATGCAAATAAACATTGTCAGTCTGTGCAAACCGCAGTGTATGCAGAAAGCATAAATAGTATAAGATAGAGGAATCAAGGCCTTCTATGTGTGACGTCACAAAAATGGCCACCATCACCAACGGTTCAAATATTTTAAAGTCAAAGTGCAATGTGTCACGTCTCTGCGAAGTGTGAAGTGTTGCATCTCCATCACATTTTCTTTCTTTAGAGACCTTATTTATATAGATCGGTTGTGTGTCAGAGACGCAAAGGATATATATACCACTGAAATAATATAAGAGACGATATGATGTTTCTAATTTAAAAGTTTTCAACCAAAAAGTTTTAAGTCTGGTTAATGTGTGTGTGTTTTTAATTATTGTAATAATAACCAACCGTCTAAAAAAACACCAGAAAACTAGAAACACTAGAAAGAAAACCTATGAAACATTGACTTAATGACAGTCTGATCGATAATCTAATTGTAATTTATGTTAAACTTCTTTTATCAATTATTTTATAAAAATCAAATTCATTAACAGACAAATTTGAATTAAAAAACAAAAATCACTGTATAAAGACATTCAACATGTCAATCTGCTTATGGACTTTTCATGTCAATTGTTGTAGTCCTCACACTACCCAAAGACTCAGACAGTATAGATGTTTAATTTAAATTTTAACCCTTTGCACTCCAATGTCAAGTGAGACTCAACCTTGTAAAAATTGCTCCTACTTCAAATCACATTCATCATATTGTTTTCTTTTTTCTAAAAGCTCTGAATTCAATCAAATTAAAAAAGGGTTAAAAAATGGCTGTTGGGAATGCTGAGTCTGAAAAATTAGGAAGGCAAGGGTTAATTGTTTGTCTTCAAAGACAAAAGTCTTGAAAAAGGCCACATTCACTTCAGTCAAAACAATTTGGAATGTCATTATAACATGTTTCTGTTTTATAACGTAAAATTTTCTGTTAATTAAGTTGTTCATTTACAATTGTTAAGTTACAATACATCATATCAGTTTTTGTGATCTGAGAGGATTTGCATTTCAAATATGTCCTTTACAAACATGATTGTTATTTCTAAAAGAATGATTTATAATATAAGTTCACGAACAGAAAAAAATGGGGAGAAAAATGGACAATTATTAATCATTCATAAAAATAACTTATGTAAAGAAATAAACAGCTCTCTACCTTTCCCAACCATCTTAGAACTTCCTTCAGCATCTGACTCATTGTCACTGTCAATGACAGAACGACGCTCTTCAACTTCGTCTGAATCTGCAACGTTAGACAATAATAAAATATGTAATTTTTTCTCTTCCTTCAACAGCAATCAAACTTGAAGCAGCCATTCATTACTCAATTTTCAATTCTCTCAAGTTCAGACTAAAAATTTACAAACAGATAATTTGGAACTACTTATTAAAACATTCTCAAATTGTGATATTAATGAAAATAATTCATTTACACTATAAATCACAAACTATTAAGGAAATTGCTTGGTTTTTATAATAGATACTTTGAGAAATTTATTTAAATTTAAGGGGTGATTAACCACAAATATATATTTTCATACCTGAATCTTTATCCCCTTTCTTCTTCTTAGCAGTCTTTTGTATAGGACTCTTTGATCCTGATCGTTCCTTTTTTGAATCAGATGGAGAAACAGATCTAGATTTTGATCTAGAATGTGACCTGGACCTAGATCTGGATGCTGCTTTGGCAGAACCTGGAGGCGACCTTGACCTAGATCTTGATCGAGACCGCGATCTTGAATTGGATTTTGACCGGGACCGTGATCTTGATTTAGATTTTGAACGTGACCGTGATCTAGATTTGGATTTTGAACGTGATCGTGATCTAGATTTTGAACGTGATCGTGATCTAGATTGAGACTTGGCCTGTGACACCGATCTTGATCTGGACTTGGACCTTGATTTAGATCTAGACTTTGACTTTGATCTTGATCTTGATCTAGATGCTGACTTTGATCTTGATCTAGACCTGGATGCAGCTTTAGAAGCTGGGGATCCTGATCGAGAGCGTGAAGCTGATTTAGACCTAGAACGAGATCGAGATCCTGCCTTTGATTGTGACTGGGATCTAGAACGTGATCTTGAAGCTGCTTTTGCCGATGGTGACCCTGATCTAGATCGCGATCTTGATTTTGATGCAGAACGAGATCTAGATCGTGACCCTGCTTTAGACTGTGATCGGGATCTTGATCCCCCTTTTGAAGGTGAACGAGATCTTGATCGTGACTGAGATCTGGATCTAGATCTAGATCCTGCTTTAGATACACTCAGCGATCTAGATCTGGACCGGGAACCTGCTTTTGACAGTGATCTTGATCTAGACCTTGATCCTGCTGGTGATGGGGATCTTGACTTGGATCTAGCAGGAGATGGAGATCTAGATTTGGATCTAGCAGATGGTGATCTAGACTTTGATGAAGCTGGAGATGGTGATCTGGTCTTGGATCTAGCGCTTGGTGATCTTGACTTGGACCTAGTAGGAGATGGTGATCTTGACTTTGACTTAGCAGGAGAAGGTGATCTTGACTTGGACTTAGCAGGAGATCTAGAACCTGATCTTGACCTAGACCGGGATGCAGCTTTAGATCTTGCTGGAGACCGAGAAGGAGATCGTGATCTAGACCTTGACCCACGTTCAGATCCTGAGACTGATCTCGAACGTGATCTTGAACCAGATGCAGATCTAGCTTCTTTTACAATCGAAGGAGATCTAGATGGTGATTTTGATCTAGATCGAGATCTTGAACCCTGTTCTGACCCTGACCCAGGAGACTTTTGTTCAGCATCTGATTGATATGATCTATTTGACTGTCTTGATCTGTTAGACCTGGTAGATTGCCTTGATCTACGACTCTGATGGGATCCAACAGAGGAATTATCATCTTCACTACCGCTACCTGAATCTTCATCGCCCGTCTTATTTTGGGAAGTTTGATTCATTTCAACATCACTTGAACTGTCTTCTTTATCACCGACTGGACTAGAAGGAACCTCATCTGAAAAAAGCAACAGCCAATACCAAGGAATAAGATAACAACACAAATATTAACAAAATGGGTACATTAACTTGTCATAAATATGAAGCAGCAAGTTGATAAATATGTATACTTTTGGCTTAGTAGTAAACATTCATTTCTTGGTTGAGTTGCCGGTTGGAAACTATAGTGGTGGATGGTTTCAGGTTAACTAAATTTTAATAGCAGTAATAATACAAAACCTCAACTTCAACTAACCATGAACAATGAAAGCTTGACAAACAAGCGCCTCTAGTAAGCAGTCATATTCATTAACAACCATTAGATAGATGGGTGGATAAACAGAAACATCCGTGGAATTTCTTCCTCCCCACACCAATACACAATTAAGATTTCAAACCCATAGTTGTTGCATGAAATGCATAACCCGAAGCAAAGTTGTAATTTATTGGAAGTTAATGTTGTTCTTGTATTGACATTGTATTTGAGTATGTTTATTATGATGAAATTGAGTTATCAACACTAGCAAATAAAATTTGTTTTATTGTCAGTTTATTTTGTATGTGTATTGTTTTAAATATTGTTTGTATGAACTTATTGTTATTAAATTTGATGTTTCAATTAATATTTCAGTACATAACATTACATTGTTTGATATTTTGAAATAATATTAAAAATAATTTAAAAATTTTGTCTCTCATCCCCATTCGTAGACATTGAAAATTAAAGTATTGCAGAAGGCATTTTTCCAGATCCTTTAAAAAAAACTGAAGTAATACCAGTATTTAAATCAGGAGATGCTCAAAAAATGACAAATTATAGGCCTGATTCACTGAAATCAAACTCGCCTAAGATCTATGAAAAGGCGCTAAATATTAGAATATCATTATGACTAAACACAATATTACACATAACTGTCAATGTAGTTTTCAGGAAAGCAAAAGTACAGAATATGCATTAATTTATCTGACAGACCAAAATTTTCAGGGTAATAGATGAATAGTTTCCATGTTTCTTTCAGTTTTCTTGGTCTAAGCAAAAGCATTTGAAACGGTGAACCATAAGATTATTGAATTGAATTAATGCCTTATTTTACACGGTGAGACTCAGGCCATGAGGCCTGCTCTTCCGTCTGACCATGCAAATTTCGCTATGCTCCTTTCACCAACTAGCAGAGAAAGGAGGTATTTCTTGGGCGAGAAACAGGCGATTTCCATTTAGCTTGACGTTAGAGGCTTTTAGGCTTGACGATCTTTTACATGCAAGTAAATCTACTAACATGGGAACTTAAAAGTCCACGGCTTTGATCGGGTTTGAACCCGATTTGAACGGGAATGTACATTATTAGCTAAGTTAGACAGTACAAATTTACATGTTCAAATTGATACAAATCTACCTTGTTGGTACAGTGGGATGTCTATTATCCAAACATCAATCATCCAAAACGTCAAATATCCAAACTCATATTTTCTCTGAATAATTATTTCTTTAATTAGGTACTATATACGATATGTATTCACTTTCTTTTGTAATACCAAAAGAGATTGTGTGATAAAAGAGACTGACTATAGTACAGTATCTTGCCAATCATCTGACTTCCGTGAACTTTGACAAATCCTACAATAAATGCTTAAGAACTCAGAATGTACATTATTATCATAAAAACACTTTTCAACAGCTTTAAGTGCAAGAGAACTATACATTGTCAAACAACACATTGCATATGCTTAACAGCTGTCACTCACTCAGTATGTTCATTTTGACAGAAAACCCACAACCTTTTAGTGCAACAGTAACCTACATAGACAAGCAGAATCATCATTTTATTGAATAACCAATTATGTTTGGTTATCCAAATCATCGAATATCTGAACTATATGGATGCAATTAGTTCGGGTAATCGACATCCCACCGTAGTTAGAATCAATAAAACTATTAGTAGCAAGCTGCAGTTAACTTTCGGGTTCCACGAGGGAACCACCCTGGGTCCTCTATATTTTTATACTGTATACAAATCATCTATTCAAAGTTCAAAAAGGTGAAATCATAGCTTTCCAGATGATACTAATCTGTTCATGAAACTAACGTGAGGCTAGAAGTGACAAACCTAGCTCACTTTACACCGAGTGCAACTATGAAATTGTTGAGTGCAAATTATCTGCCTTTAAATATAACCAAAACTGTTTCTGTGACTTTCGGTAGTCATAAAGATAGTTAACCATTAAATATTGAGTTGAAACTACACTAAGTTATGCAGGAATACTGGTACAAGTGATTGTCCTAATATAGCTTTAATAGACTATACCCAATACTTGGGCGTAATTATTGATTGTAATTTGAAATGGAAACAGAATATTTCTTATCCTACCGACAAATTACGATATCTGATTCAAATCTTTATACACCTTATGTTTGATTATAATCACCAGAAAATAATGTACTACATGTTGTTCAGAGTAATTGCTAGGTACAACGTAATTGTCGGTGTGGTGAATGCCTTAAAACAGTTACAAGGTATTGAAAAGATAATTTTAAAAACTAATTATGAAAAGGATAAAATGTACCCTTTGGATATGCTTTTTAACCTTCCAACACTCTCACTATTTTAAAAAAAGTGGAACATTTTTCATAGTTACCAGGAATGTTGCGCTCAGTAGTGAATTCATTATAGGTATTCGTTTATTGATACTTCATTGTTGTAGTAGAAATAGAGATTATCTTAAAAGCTTGTTGAGTTTTGAGAGTGAAATGTGAGAGTAAAGATGTGACTGCTGCACATTTTACAACATGCAAGTTCTGATGTTAATTTTTCAAATAGGTCCTTTAAGTATGAAAAAGTTACAAATGTGAATAAATCCAGTAGCTAAATTTAGAAAAAATATCCTCTAACACATGGTGCAGCGAGAATCCATGTCATGTGGGTAATTGGTACCGAAAAACTGAATGTCGGCAACACATGTCTATTCTTCCGTCTGTGAACAATGCTACCGGTTAAACCATTTAGCTAATTTTCTCCAAAATTGATATAATTTAATTGATTAGGGTTAAAGTAGGATACACGATACACCCGCAGAGAAGTGTGGTGGCAGGGAGAAGGGGTCTCCTTAGCCCTCACTCAAATTACCTTACACTCTGACAGAAATTAATACAATTTATGGATAATAGATTTTCATGGCTCGTCCTTCATACTCTTTGTCCCCGCCGCATTGCAATACATTGCAATTTACTTTCAAAGGCAAGTTTTGAATATTTTGATGATACATTTTGAAATAATGAAATATTTTCATTGTTTATGTTCTCTCATTGTTATTCAAAGTTGTGTCAGTCAAGTTAGTGTTAATCAAATTAAAAAAAATATTATTAAAAATAGAAATATCAAAAATTTTGATGTTGTAAAAAATACAAAGTGCAAGTTACCATGTCACAAAAATAGGCGCAAGTGCTCAAAAGTTAAAGAATACAGGATGATTTCGGTTAGAAAATACTTTTTCAGAAAAATCTCATTTGAAAATCTTTGTGGAACTTGAATAAAAATTCTAGGGCTGCACCACAAAGAGTTGCATTTATAGTACCACCTATAGTTAAAAAAGAAATTGGTTGACAAATCATAATTATATTAGTTAAAAAGTACTTAACTTATTGAGTGAAGATATCAAATATTAGTCACACCTCTAGTAACAAGATTAAAAGAATTAGAGACCTTTCGATACACCTCCAAGCAAACATTGTCTCTTTTCTATTCATGCCATCTGAATGAGACAAAAATTGTAAAACTAAAATATATGTGTATGTATGTTTTAAGTAGGTGAGTTTATGTTTTTGGATTTACTTGTTTTTTGCTACTTCTTTATCAAGTAATAGCTTAGTTATTTGTTACTTTTCTATGAATAACATTACTATAATTTTGTACTCTTTGAAAAGAAAAATAATATGTGATAAAACAGGCCCACGCACAGGAAATTCTTCTCGGCAAGTAGTTTCTATCTATTTATATACACAAGTCAGTTAAAATTGACTTGAATAAATAAATATAATGAATAAGTGCAAATGAATCCATCAACAAACTGATGTACTTTCCTCCTTTTTCAATTTTAATTTCATCTTTCATATAGAATTGAAAACCGGATTCAACAAAAAAACAAATAATTAATCTAACAAATTTATCATTTACAATTTCCAACATAAGGTTTCTTGGGCATGTTGCACAAAATAAGCAATGCCACATAACTCGACACATCGGGTATATATAAGTTCGTGAAACGTCACAACTACTTGTAATTAAATTTCTGTAGACACATACCTTCCTCGTAATCCATTGTGTTCAAAAAGTAGCTTCAGGATAGATTAATACGATGAATATCAGCACCGTCCCAACATTCACAAACCACTATGTGTTCCAAACATACGGATTACATTTCAATGCCACTGGTCTTCGAAATTCATAACATTTACCACTGGATGATTCAGATGCCTACTACTTACTGAAACAAGTAGCACTATAATCAGTATGATTACATGTTACATATCACTGTAAATAACATTAAAAATCCAACCTCACCACTGCCAGCCGAGGCCCAAGCCAGGAATTGAAGTGCACCTACAGGAACACAGAGGCAGAGAGTATTTTAGGCAGTACCACAGTATACGTAGTATGTATACAGCAGTGCAGCTCCGTGTTATAAATGCAGAGACTTTCAACTCTCACAAAAATTGCTGGAGACCACGGAAGTGGCGCGCTCTCGTTTAGTACCTTCTTTCGGAAACTAAAATACAAACTGCCAACGTTACTTAACGTGCGTGGCTGGTGTGTGGGCTCGCGGGTCGTAACAGAGCGCGAATGTTACAAAAGACAGCACCGATATTTGCCCTTTCTTTAGACGTTTTTAGATACATATTATGAATAATTGAACTTTTCGAATTTCTCGCAAATTGAGCAATTTTTATGTGCGAAAATTGAGGAGTCTTAACTGCAGCTGTACCCGAAGACACTTGTGCCCCCGAACCTACAACTTTGTGATTTTGATAGAATTCAAAGGCCCTTTGGCATGTTCACAAGACTAGCACGTATTGCGACAACGGAACACGTGGCCGATTTATTATTCGTAATCACGGTGTAAAAAATAATCATACACCGTGTTCATAATACAGCATCGTTCAGCTAAATCTGACAAAAAATTAAATGTTTTTAATTCCCTGAAACAAAACCACATGTGACGTAGAATTTAATTATTTCATTGCAATGTCTATAAACTGTTGTTCCATCACAGTTCAAAAATAACACAAATATAAAACGAGTTCCTAAATGCATGCTTAAGGGCTTATCGAGGTACGAAAAATTGTATACGAATGGGTATTTTCTTATAAATGGGTCCGGTTGTTGTTATTTTTTGTCGTTTTTTTATACTGTTTACGCGAATTATGCCAAGTAGAGTGAATAACGAAGTAAATGTCATAATCTTGTATTCTTTTGATTTTTCAAAAATTGCACAAAGAGTTATTTTTTTAAAATATCCCTCACGTCACAATGTCCCTCAATAATTACATTTGCGGAGAACATGTGCTTCAGATGATTTCTAACGAAGTTTCATCAAAACCCAACAGTTTTCTGTAAAAATGAGTTTAAAATTGAGCGTTTTCAGAAACGCTAAAACATTTTCTCATCAACCGCTCCAATGTTTCCAGTGAAAATTTGCCTGTAGGGCCACTTCTCACACTTTTATAAAATTCTCAAGGTGTCTGTCTACTCAAAAGTAACAGGAAACAAAAGAAACAGAAAACACCAGAGAACAAAAGCAGAAGAAAGTACTTGTGACGAAGAAAAAGGAGAGAAGATAAATAAGGAGAAGGAGGTGTAACTTAGGTTGCAGGGGCCCTATAAGTATGCAACCTTTCATTACTTCTGAAATGTTATTTTTCTTTGGGTATTGATTAACGAAATGCATCATAACTCGGGAATTAATAGAGATATTTAAATTATTCTTTATGTATTTCCACATTATTATGTGAACCACATATAACATTCCACTATACACTACTTGAAGGGATGCATTCAAAACAAAGTAAAACAAAGCCGGTCCGGATGGCCAAGATCGTTAAGGCAGTACTGCCGTAACAATATCGTACTGAAAGAGCGTGGGTTCGAGCCCCGCCTCGGGCATGGTTGTATTTGTGCTGGTCCTTCCACTCCCTATCATCACCATATCATATCATCTTCACAATTACCAACCAGTTAAATTCTCTCTCTCTCTCTCTCTCTCTCTCTCTCTCTCTCTCTCTCTCTCTCTCTCTGCGCGCGTGGGACAAATACTGATTCGCAGATCGTCCGATTTGCATGATTGTCACGGCGTTGGATTCAGAAAGCATGTCGCCATTGCGCTATAAGGCCACATTTTTAAATTTGTTCTCGGAAGTTTGAGAACTAATTTCAAATTCGCGTTTTTTGTTAGATTTTTGGAAAAAGGTCACCGTAGCGTAAATTCTATTTTAAAAAGGCGTCAAATGCCGTTTACGCATCGAAAATCGGACCATTGGTTCAAACGTTATCAGTAAATTCCCCTGTGATAGTGCTGCGATAAATTGAATTTTCCTACAAGTATTTTCCGTGCATTTAGCCTAAGTAATGGTTCAATGTAGCATTTTATTTAACTTAATTTTAATTTATTTGAATTGCTTGCATATTTATTATATTTTCGTATTTTGAATTTTGGAAATTACATTTCCGTCATTCGATGGAGGTGCAAAAGGCCGACTCTTGGAGCACCAGTCGACACTGGAGATACAGTATGTGGTCGCCAGGCTGGCAGTTCAAGGTTTCCACTTTTGTCCACGTCACTAGTGAACAAAAAGTGAAACTTGCAACTTGAGTTAGAAACAAATGTACATTTGTGCGCATTTCAGTTTATTATTAACGTTGCAGCAATACACACAATCAGAAGGTATTGGTTGTAGCCCGAAGAACCAGTTGAAGTTTGAGATTCCAAAAATCAGGCGAAGGACAAGATGCCTTCACTTAAAAGAATTGGAAAATCCAACATGTGTTCTGAAGACAAGATACCTCAATTATGAAATTGTGTTCATAAATGTGGATACAAAGTGATTGATTTGTATTTTCATACATTCCCTTAACTCCATATAGATTAAAATTATTTCGTGATGATGCAAAAAGTTCCACATTGAATTCCCTATTGATTAGAGGCTAAAATATTGCTTCGCGCTCGATGGGGTGAGATTACGTTACATAAATATTTATATCTACTATCTCACCAAAAATACAAAGCACTAAGTACAGAAATTGAAACCTGACGTTATAAAAAAATATATGTAAATATTTCGATGTACTATATCGATAATTATAATAAAAAACTTTAAAATGTGGCACATTTTCACCCCGTCTTACGGTACTTTTTTTGTAATATTTTGTTCTATTTCATGCTATTATACTTGTTTTTTTATTTCCAGTAGTTCTCGATTTGATCGCGATAATGCGACATCTAGCGGCAGAACTGAGAAACACGCGAAATACCGTGTGATAGTCCATCGTGAAGACAAGGCATCGTGCGCCAAGAAATAAAAACCAAAGTATATCATGTCCAGAATTATTATAGTTCATTTGTATGTTAATGTTTTTACATACAATGAACAAATAAAGGGTTACAAACAACGGTACAATCAGAGTTACTAGATTTTTTCCAATGGGAGATATTTTAATAAAAAGGTGGTCATTTTAATCATGAAAAGGAGTACATTTTACATTTTTGTACTCCATGATATATAGGCAATGTACTCAACAATTCCAAACTTTTAATAGTCTTTAAAAAGCATTTTGCACTTTGCTTCATTACAAATGAAAAAGCTACCAATTGGATAACTTCGCCTACTCATTCACCTTTATTATCCACCAATCAATAAACATGGTTAAATAAAATAAGAATACACGGACTTACAAACTGTTTATTGATGTGTGCGCAGGCTACATCCATACAGCTCTTTAGGACAGGAATGGACGAATGCGCGTACACCAGAGAGTATTTTATACGTACACTTATATACATAGAACATAGTAATCCTAGAGATGTCGATAAATACAATTTCTCTAATATAAATGGACGTAAATATTCCAACAAGCATAAATAAGTTTTATATCACAATAAACCTAATGATCTATTAGGCACACTATTTATTTGAGTAAAAATGAAGAGATTCAAGACATGAAGTTCCTTTAATGAATTAAATTACTTTAAAATTATGCCAGAATTATTTCCAATTTAACAAGACAAAAAGAAAATGAAAATTTAAAGAGGAGGGAGGACAACGTTAAAAAATGAGAAGAAAGAAAAGAGGTCAGATGGCAAATGTTATGAAAATAATAAGGCAAACCGAGAACTTAAGGCAAAGAAAGGTGAAAATAGAAGCTGTGTGACAGAGGGTATGGGTAAGAACAGGATACAAGGACATTTCTAAGTTCTTGAAATATACACTAGGAATACATTTTATTACTTAAATACAGTATCCTTTAAACCTCAGTTTTGGCAATATTATTTTTAACAAAAGGTTTCTGTAATCTAAATACATCAGAAGCGCAAATTTTAAGTATGCATCTTGTTTTGTCTCTGTAAGTGAATTTGAATTTCCGCGTTTTTCCACCCAAATGGCGGATTTTTCGGGGATCAACTGGGAGCCTTTATGTAGTTCCGTAAAAAGCGTACCCAGAGAGTATTTTACCGAGAGTGAGGGTACCATTGACAACTTGAAGCGGATTTTGCCGCCGGCTTCGAGAGCGTGGTGGTGCCCTGCTTGTGAGGAGGCACGCATTTCCTTCCACCGTGAATCGTAGACAATCAGCCTTGGGTGATCTGTGCTGTGCAGTGAATGTCGCTATAAACAAGTTTTGAAGTAATGCAGATTACTATGGATATGCTTTCATCTGTCAGACGGATGTGATGTTTTTAGGTTCATGCTGGGTAGCTTAACAAGGCAGTCTCAGTTTATCATTCATCTCCGTGTGTACAAGAGTCAGTTACGATCTGATTTGACAGCAATTCAATCAGAAAGGTATGAAATAAAATCAATACGATGGTTTATTCGGGATTAGAAATGTGTGGAAAAAGAAGTGTTTGCTTTAGCACGTTATAATTAGTTATAAACATCACAATTAATCGAAATGTGTGATCCTGAACTTCATTCTACATCCAACTATCCCTATTGACATTTCAGTAACGTTTGGAATGATATTAGATCACAATCGTCGTATAGCCACTTCCCGTAATTTGTCATGTTTCTTGTTTTACAGTTGAAACCCATTGCAAACATGTTATACAAAACTAGTATAGAGCAAAGTCTTATATTGTCTGGAGAGAAAGATCGGTAAGTTTTACTGTGAATATAGAGATTATTTCTCTATTATTCAGTTTTGGTTTGTTGAATACTGAAAAAGTTCTTACATCATGTTTTTATCTCCCATTCAATTGAGTACAGATTGCACAATTCAGCTACTGGTCATTGTCATGTCATTTGTTTTAAATGTAATGTTCACAGTTTCAAGGAGTTACTACGCACAAGACTTACAGAATGTGGATGGCGTGATCAAATACAAATGTTGTGTCGTCAGATTGTTAAAGAAAGAGGAGTTCAGAACATTACAGCAGATGAACTTATTGGTGAAGTAACTGCGAAAGGAAGAGGTAATTCTAGTTTTCTCACATTAATTATATTTCTTTTATAGTTGAAAAAAATTCATTGTTTGCTGTTCCAGCACTGGTGCCAGATGCTGTGAAAAAGGAATTGCTCCAAAAAATCAAAGCTCATTTCTCCCAGGACATGTAAAATGGCCATTTTTAATTTTCCTCTTGTAAATTTCTCCACTAAATAAAAAAAATATTCAAAACATATTTAATTTTACTTTCATTTATATAATGTTTTAACTTCTAATTTAGGCTTTTGGAAAACAATTTAAAAATAAATAAAATGCATTATTTGCATTGGCAATTTTACTAATGCATGTACCACGGGCCTTAAAATCAGGGCAGCCACTTTCTGGAAATTATGAAAATCAGCAAATTTGTAGAAGAATCACTAAACATCAGGGAAATTTTGGAGAGCGTTATAAAACTAGGTATTTGTTTAGTTTGTGTAGATGTGTCTCATTCTGAAAATGTTTTTAGTAAGCGGATTGGTGTTAGAAAAATCAGTGTTTTAACAAGAGTTGTTCAATGAAATGTTGAAATGCAACACATAATGTAATTGAATTTAATGTACATTAAATAAAACCTGGCATAGTCATATTAACTCTAGGAGGACATCAATTTTCCTTCTACTTAGTAGGGCAAACCAGTCTGTTTGATGGGTATGAATTTTTGTAACATAATCAATACAATCATTTGTATTTTGACTCCAACTTCTGTATTGTTAAGGAATGTTGTGCTAATATTTTTTCTTACATGTGTAACAATGGATTCCAATAACAATAGATAGCATAAATATTCAACATAAAAGTTAGATCCAAAATGCAACTTCAATGATCAAGAAATGAGATTATTAAGATCCCAAATTACTTCAGTTATTTCTTCCGCTCCTGTTCAAGAATGGTTATTAAGAATTCAAATTGTATGCACAGACAGGTTCTTAAGGGATCCATTTGGTCTAGCGAATCTTATAAAAATTATTTCATAAATATGTTAATAGTTATTTTGAAGATTTTTGTAATGTTACTGCATATATTGTTGAAGGTAAGTAGTATCCTCAGGATGATTAAAAACTGAAACTACTCAGATATTTTAAAACATTTTTATTCTCATGAAACACTAAAATTTCAATGTTTCATGACACAATTTGGCTGCAGCCATCACGTTGCCTGAGACAAAGAATTGAAAAACAATTCACACATTAAAAGATAACAAACTGGAAATCATAGTCTAGTAAAATAATAGAGTAAAACTAAGGAATAGACTTGAAAGAAGTAAGGTCAGCCACCACCATCGAAATCAGAAAGTCAAAAAGTAATGCTTTCCATTTTATGAATGAATTGGTGTTAAAATTTCAAAAGAAGACAAAGTCAAAAGAAAGAACGATACAAATGCTAGATAATGCTAATCATACTTACAATGATCATGTGATTGATCTGGATTTGTACATAAAGGTAGCCCTGGGTAAAATGGTAAAAATTTCTCCTCAACCAAATGACATACATATGAGTAGTCACACTCTTTGACATAAAAATTCTAAATTAATTTCTAGACTATTGGCTTTTTAAGTTTCATTTTATTTCAAGTGTACTAAGTTTCGGAGCACAAATGTTTGTTTTAATTTTTTTTTTTTTTAACACTCATCTGGTTGAAAAAATAAAATAATTTATGCCATCATAAAAACTTTTTTTTATATTTTCTTAGTGCCACATTCAAACGCAAATTTTTTTAAGAAATGAACCAGATATGTGCAATCCGGTGCCCTAAAATCCTGGAACAGGTTTGAAAAAAATCTGAAATTTTCTCAATACGCAGATCGTGTTCTTTTTTTTTTTTTTTTTTTTTTCCTTCAATTTTTTTCCTATTGCTGGTCAGTAGTTGAAAATATGTTTACCATTTTCCCGCCTTTAAAACATGTTGACTTTAAATACACTTTTAGAAAAACTCACAGTTCTGCGCAATGATTTTAGTATTTATTACACACTAGCGTACCCGTGCGAGAACTCTCGCATGTTAATCCTCACCCTTACCCCATCCTTTTCATTTAGGAAAGTTGTTAATGAAACAAGTTTATTTGTTTAAAAAATGTATATATGTAGCTTCGTACTTACAGAATATCAGAAATAAAAACAATGGAATTGACGTTGGAAACACATTTTCAATAAAGATTTATTCAGTATTATAGAGCTATGTTCTTAGAACAATCCACACTTTTTTATGGTGGTTAGAGCGAGGTACTTTAACATGCCTTTTTTATTGTGTCAATCGAAAGATGAGACGTTCTTCTATGTTCTGGTAGAATTTGAGTATATTTCACCGTATAGTTTTTGGAAATGATACCGTAACGTTTGTCGTTTTAATACGGGCATGGTGGGCCAAAAATGCCGAGCAAAAATTTTATAATTGTTAGAAAAGAAACTGTGGGAAATATTCTTAAAAGCTCTTCCTTACGTAGCTAGCATCTCGAAGAATCAATTATGCGCGATTTGAAGGACATTACCGTTTCGAATGGGAGAATTCTGCAACATGGTAAGCCTAAATCACTTCTAAGGGAGACATTCATTCTGCAAATCCCCGAAAATACATTTATTATATTTACCACGATTTTCAAGGCCAATAAATATACACATTACAGTTTTTGAGCACACCGGATTGCACGATTTCTGCCTGAAAACGTTTCAACATGTTCTTAATTTTTCGTGCAGAAAGCTTAGTCTGACTCAAGTGCCTCTAGTGGCAAAATCATTCACTAACGAATTTGATCACCCGATGCAAAGGTAATAGGCCATTTCGATTTTGTGGTTATTTGTGTCAAGTGACAAACTTCATCTTTCGCTATTTCCACCTTCCTATTTTCCTTCTCTATAATCAATAATTAACTTTTAAAGAATTTTAGGATTACAGGTCACCGCAAGAACGCACACAGAAATACCTCCACTAAAAGTACTCGGACGGCGCAATTAAGTTGATTCCCCGTTGACCTAACAGCGTCTTGTAGAGATTAGCACAGAATCCATACAGACCGTGTATGCACTTCCGGCCTTTATCCTTCTAGTTTAAGATCTTGAAGCTTTTGTACATAAACTGCAATAGAATATGCACAAAAACTGTACCGTGTTTCCGGCCTTAGCAAGTCTTGCGCGGCCTCAATTGTTTACATTTAGGTGCAGTATCCCCATAGTCTGCGCTTTTTGCGACGGCCGGACACTTAAGCCGCCCGCCTCGTGATTAGCATTCGTAATTCCTCTTTCGGTGCAAAGAAAGCAACTCGGACTTTTCCTGCAAGCCTTCCTGAAGAGGCCTTCATTACATATCCATAGGTTCTGCGATAAGTGTCCCTCCGTATACACATACAAATTACTTCACATCGGCTGGCATTAATCCCCTCGGTTATTGAAATTTCTCAACCAAGGCGTGGCAGAACTAGTCTTCAATGGTTACTTCAAGGTCTTTCACCTATAAGGATCTAGCTAGAGAGAGCTTTAGTTCGGTTTTCCCACTCAGCACCTTCTCCAGAGACGCCAGGAACACTGTTTTCTATCGCTGGACTTGCTGAGCTGCAAGTCGACTTTCGCAATCTTTAACGTAACATTAAAACCGAAGTCGTGGAGATCGGAATTGCTCTTCAGCTCCTTGAGCGTGTCTGCGTACGTCATTTCGCTCTTCGATTTCCAGAGAACACCAGGATATCCAGAAAATCAGCACACCTATACCTTGCGACGTCTTCAGTCGTTTTTTCGGCTCTACACGATAACTCTCGTTTCCGAATGTCGTTTCTTCGCAAGGGCTGTCACTACCCGCCTCTCTCATTTTGTGGTTGCGGCTGGTATGTGCTCCGACGCTTGCTCTCCACCCCAAAGATTTTTTGGTCCAACTCGTTCTCGATTATACCAAAAACGGTATGGATTTCCCTCCCAAACCGAGACATAACGCGCTGCACATGGTGACGTGGAATCACGTAGTTCGAAAGCTGGACTATAGTATCTTTCAGGACTCAAACGTTTCCTTTGAAACCATTCCATGGATTTGCTTGCTTCATCTCAGTCATGTTTGAATCGCCCATCGGCAAGGGGGCGTCATTAGCTACCTCACCTGTTGTAGGATCAGCGCAATGTCGCTGAATCTTCATGCAAACTCCGTTGTTTAAGCCGTTTTGAACTTCAGTAGCTCCCACGCGAGTCACTATATTTTGTTTTTTAACGTGGCGCCTCAGGGCTTGACTTCACGATGTAATATCTCACGGCATTTCGCATCTTTCTCGGTCGTGCTGCTAGACACTTTGCACAGATATAGTCGCGATCATGCAACATTTATCGGCACTGCCGAGAAAGACGCGAAATATTCCATCCTGAAAACAGGCCCTAACGTGCTACGGTGGCAAGTGCGATTTTTATATAGCTGCCTTTTAAAGCCCGTCTTCACGATCGAATATGTCATGGGATTTCGAGTATTTCTCGGTCGTGCCTCTGTCACATGATCGCAAGCACTGCTTGATACGGTCATGTGATAGGTTGCGCTAACGCCCAGTCATTTCCAACACTGTGGGACGGTGGGCGTGGTGAGGTTTCCATAAGTGCCGAGCAGACTTTTGGGGGGAGGTGAATGTCCGGAGCAAAGGGCAGGCAGGACTGCAGGGACAGGTGATATGAGGCGCGGGCCATCTTGGCGCAGGGTCCGGTGTCCGCGAGAGCATTCCACAACGCCCGTCACTCTCCGCTGCCACAACAGAGGAGCTCTGAGCTTCCAAAACCGGCCCTGATTATTTGTGCTACGAAAGATTGAGCTGGAGCAAGGTACAGAAGGTAAAAAACAAAAGGAACATTTTCCGTACTGTTTTGTAACCAATTTAATTAAACCTACTGATTTAAAAACAATTATATACAATAGTTCAAACACCAACTTGATTTCATTACAATTCAGTAAAAAAGAGAACATCTTGTTTCTGGGTTATCTTTCTACTTTCGCTGCTCAGGTCTGTGATCATATACTTTGCAAAACACTTTCAGTAATTCTTCTTTAACTTCAGCATTTAAATTATCTGAAAGCAAAATCAATTAGTAATCAGGATCCAATTTTGCCAGTGCTTTATTCAATACAAAGGTACAACTAATGAACTTCAAGGGTATACCAAGCAGAATTCAGGGGTCATAGTGTATTAAGTTAATTTTCAAAGAAATAAAAATATTTAATAATAATTTTATCGCTGTATTTTTTAACTATCAGCAACAAGATTTGTTTTACCGCAATTCAAATGGTGTATTTCAAAGTGCAGTCCAAAAATAACTCTTTCCCTTTTACTCCATAGAAAGAAATATAAAAAATATATAAAAGAAATTTGTGGAGGTATTTGAAGACTTTAACATGCTATAGTAACATGTAGCAAGAATACAAAGGCATAAGATAGCACTAACAAGCCAACAAGTGGTATTATGATGAATTCGTCGACATGTCATTTCTTTTAATGCACGATTCCTCCCAAGCGCAGTGCTGAACGGTCCCCGAGGGGCTTGCTGACGCGTTGCGTCAATCTCCACGCAATAATTTTTATTTTTTTTTAATAATAAAAGACAATTCGTGATGATTGGCATTGAAGGGCGAACGTTTCAACCACAGGCGGGGGGGAGGGGGGGCATCTTCAGGTGCGGCTCGCTGGCGTCGCGCGTCCGTAGATTTTATAGTCAGCAAGAGGGGGGGGAGGGGCGTCAGTGGGGATTTCGGGCGCTAGCTTGCGATTAGTTGATGGTACGCGGGCTGGCTCCTGATTGGCTGTCGATGCGCTGGGGCTGGATTTAACTAATCCGTCCTTGTAGTTTTCTACTATTGTTGCGGAGTACGGGATACCAGATAGAATTAATTTTGAACTCCTCCTCCTTTTCTATTGAAGTTATTGGGATGTTTAAAAATCTCTAGTTTCCCATTGTAACCTGGTGCGGTAATTGTTATTTGTAGATAGTATTTCGGTGTCTTCGAACAGGATATCGTGTTCTCTTCCCGATAGAGCATGTTCAGCCACCGCTGATTTCTCTGTATATACCTAGCGGCAATTTCGTTTGTGTTCGGTGGGGCGAGTGTTGACTGAACGCTGTGATGTGCCTACGTACACAGAGCCACTGGAACAGAATATCCTGTAGACGCCTGCTGACAGTGTTCCTGCGGTCTTTAAATGATCTAAAGAGATTGCGGAGCTGAGTGTGTGTAAATGGCTTTGATGTGTGGTTTCAGAATGTTGTCAATGCGGTCCGCGATCTTGATGTACGGCAGTGTGACCTAGTGAGTGTTTTCTTTGGGAGGGCTGCGTTATTTGGACGTTGTGCTCTTTTCATATCTTTGGATAGAATCTCTTTTAGCTTGAAGAGCATTGTAAATAGTCTCAGTAAATGACATTACATGAGATTTCCATTTGGAGTTACCACCACAAATATTATTTCAAATCCCCTACTTGCCTATTAAGGCGTGAAGTGTGACTGATGCAATTTTTTTGGATCGCAGTATAGCTACATGCAAATAACAAGCAAGGCCCACTTGCCTTGCCTGGAGAAAGTAACGTTTATTGTCAACAGATAATAAGAATTTACAAATTTATATTACTGAGAAGGAACTATTTTAATATAAAATCTTTGGACAACGAACGGGGAGCAACAAAATTTTAGTTGCCCCCTTTGATTCAATATGAATCAAATTAATGCATAATATTGTAAAATCAATCACCAGCATGTAATCTTGCAAGTTTCTTCAATATCTCATCAAGATTTTCATTTTTATTTTCTTCAGCAAATTGTGGACCTCCTAGAGCTCTAAATGCATCTTCATAAGATTGGGTTCCAGAGTCATCAAATAGTTGCTGTAATTTTTCCATTGTGTTACTATATTTATCCAATGGTTTCAGTGTCTTCTCAAAGGCTTCTTTTAATCTTAAATGAAGAGAAAAAGGATTAGTTATATTATATATCCTAAACTATAAAAACTGAAATACTGTGAAAAAATATTTTTCTAACACATATGACAAAAGGAAATTCTCACACATGGATAAATAGACACTGCATTCACCTATTTTCTCTTGGTAAGGATGTGTTCTCTAAATTTAAGCATAGGAAATTAATGAAAATAAGGTTCTTCATTAGGGACTGTCCATAAATTACATAATGCAAATTTGTAGTATATCCCTCTCCCCCTGTAACTCATACTTGAACCCCCTTAAATAATTACATAACTCTTGTAACAACACCCTCCCCCTTGTAAATGCAAGAAGTGAACAAAAATTGTATTCATTTTATTTCTTCTGTATTAACATGTATGTTAATTAAAATTGGAATTAGTTGTTGTTGTTGACAGCACTGAACAATAAAATGGGGACGCCAGTTTTGAGTGAAGGAAGGATGACGCATAGGCAAAACAATTTCTGATCACAAGCTACACACCACTGTGGATTGGACATGGGCAAAAGTTTACTGTTCCAATTCAATTGTATTCTAGATTATACTATTGATCAGTTTTAAATATACTCTTCATAATATTATGTATTCAATAAACAAATTGATGAAAAAATATTTTCATTTATTGTAACAAATTCTAATAACTTATATAAAATAAAGTTATTGCCAGAAGCCATCTATCACTGCCCAAAATATATTTTTTTGAAATCTTTATTTCTGGGTTTCCTAATAGTAGAACAGAAATATTATTTTAAGAACCATAATAAACAGTAAAAACTCATCTTAAATGACATTTTCTTTGAAAAATTTGGAGCAGTTTTTAAAAAATTAAGCATTTAAACGTTCCTGTAAATTCAAAATTTGAAGCACTTTTTCACAGAAAATGTTTGAGTTTTTGAAAAACTTCATTCGATTTGAAGTACATGAACTCACAAATACAATAGTGTTTATACACTGTTGGAAATGTGCATAAAACAGTGTGAGAGATATTTCAAAAAAATTACATTTATGTAACTTTTGAATAAACAAAATTCCCAGAAATAAATTTTATGAGAAATTTGAAATAAAATTTTTGAGAAAATGGTATTTGAGCATTTTTGAAAATGCGGAATTTTGAGCTAGTTTACATAGAAAATTATTGTGTTTTTGAGGAAATTTATTTGACATTATTTACAGCACATGTACTCATAAATATAACAATTTTAATAAATTCCTACTAATGACGTAAGAGATAAGTAAAAAAATTACATAAGAAAAAAACCCAAAAGAATAGAGTAATATAGTGTCTATGTCATATTATAGAGAATATTTAGCACTATCCCTACTAAAAGTTAGGGGAAAAAATAAATAAATAAAAAGCAAGTCGTTTTTAAGAAAATATTGTTTTTGTCTGAAACAAGACCATAAGTAGAGAGGACACACAAAGGGCATGGAACTAACCTCTCTAGGGGAGAACATCCGAAACAAAATCCTGGCCTGCCAAGTTGGAGGTTGGACTATAGGCCAACTGCCCATTCCCATAAAATCATAAACACGTTAAAAACTCTAAGCAGTCTTTAAACGGACCCAAGTGAAGACGACTTACGTAACCAAACCAGACAATGCAAATGGCAACATGGAACGTACAGGGTATTAGCAAAAAGTATGAAGAAGTATTCAGTCAGATGGAAAAGTTAAATATAGACATTTGTTTATTAATGGAAACTAAGGAAGGAAAAGGAATTGAAGACTACAGCAAATATATCCACATTTATAGTGAAGTTAACAAAGATAATAGGGCTAAATGTGGAGTATTGGTAGCAATCCACAAAAAATGTAGACAACATAAAAGAACCTGGAATGAGTTCCTCAAGAGACTGCTAACAGTGGAGTAAGATATATTTCATCAAACTTGGTTATTGTATTAGCATATGCCCCAAATGGAGATGCAACAGAATCTTTAAAAGATTCTTTTGAAGATGAATTAGTGGCAATATTAGACGACATTCCTTCAAGTAAGGAAATTCTAATAATGGGTGACTTAAATGCCTGAACAGGAAGTAAACAGAATAACAGTATAGTGAGTAATTATGGAGAAAAAGTATGTAATAAAAATGGAGAGAGATTAATAAATTTATGTAGGCAGATGAAGCTTAAAATCATGAATGAGTTCTATAGTCACAAAGTTATTCAGAATTATATGTGGACACAACCTACCAGGAGTAGAATGTGGTAGCGACCTCTATTAAGTTAGAGCTCTTATTTATTTTTTTCACAAACCTAACTTCCAAAAGATCAAACTACCAGAAACTCATGCTCCATGTAACCCAAAAATATATCAGTTAGATAGCTTACAATATGACAAAAATAGTTTCCTATATAAATTTAGATTGGCAAATAAATGTACATTAGCCAGGAAGTGAAATATATAAAGAAATAAAAACAGTAATCCATGAAGCAGCGTTTGAAGCATTAGCTGATGAGGCCCAAAATCAAAGAAAGAAAGACATTCTGGTGGTATGAAGATTTGAAGCAAATGATCAAAGAGAAGAAAGTGAAATATAAAAAATGGCTAAACTCAGGAGATCCCAAAGATAGAACAACATGTACTAATAACAAAAGAAGGGTTAAAAGAGTGGTAACAAAAGCTAAGACAAAAGCTTGGGAAACAAAATGCTCTGAAGTAAATAGGTTAATGGGAAGCAATAGGTCTAGAGAGGCACAGAAATCAATAAAAGAACTGAAAACAGATGTCATGTAAATACAGAATGTCACCAATCAATATTAAACAGTTGGCAGCATAATTTCAAGAACTTCTGAGAGAGGGTAGAACAGAATACAAGTACATCACTTATAATGCAGATGATGTACAAATCCAGGGTGATATCCCAAAAATAACTCTAAAGAATTAAATAATGCTTTGAGAGGGGAAAAAAATAATAGATCCCCAGACCCATGAGGGATACCAGTTGAAAGAAATTATTTTAAACTATTTAATAAATGTCTCATTTATCAAGAAGAAATTCCTTAATAATGGAAAAAAAAGCAGAAATAATAACAATTTATAAAAAAGGCAATAAAAAATGTGGAAACTATAGAGACATTAGTGTCACAAGTTCAATTAGTAGACTGTATGGGCAAATAATTAAAGGAAGAATTGAGTCAGAGATAGAAAATCTGGGAGAACAAAGCGGTTTTATAGCTGGCTGTTCATGTGTTGATAACATTTTCTGCATCCAACAAATTTTAGAACAAAAATGTAATTTTAAAATAGTTAACATGATTAAGAAAATGGACAAAGACAGTAAATGTGTTGTGAAAGTAAACAGACAAGTATCAGATGAGATAATAATTTCTAAAGTATTATGTCAACAGAGCTGTATGTCCCCCACTCTTTTTAACATGTTCCTAACCGAAGCTCTGAGAGAATGGAGGTGGAAATGCAAATTTGAGAATCAACACTGGATGTTCTACTTTTCACGGATGATCTAGTCATCATGGCTGAGGATGAGCAGGATTTAACTATATGTTTAGAAAAGTTAAAGAGGAATTTGAAATAAAATTCAAAAGGATATAAACAGCTTCAGTGGGACGGACATCTGCTGAGAATGCCAGAATTGAGATGGTCCAACACTGACTGCGATGGCAACAAGAAATTTGACAGAGGAAGATGTAGTTTGTAGCAGACACACACACACACACACAAATTGTATATATAATATCCACAACAATGATGTTTTTTCCTTTTCTTTTCCTCCTTCCTCTTCTTATATTAGAAATTATTATACATTGTTGTGGGGTCTATTATATTGTAATATTAAGAACAGTGTTTCCTTGCAAACAAATACACTTCAATCACAAAAAAGTTATCGCAGGTGCTGAGGGATAAAATATGAAGCTACAAGACTCAGTATGTCATCAATCGCAGTTAAGACACAAAACATTAAAAAAAAAAATTAAAAGTGTCATCCAAGATTTCCTAGTCCTTTGTACAGTAACAAAGAGTTCACACATCTAGGTATATTGTGATATGAATTGATGAAAATGAGCTTACTTATCTGTCATGTTATTCTCAGATATATGTTTTTTAATATTTTTAATTTCTTCAAGCATTGCTGGATCTGTCTGTTTCCTGAGGAAATTAAAAAAAAAATTAATTGAAATTAATAAAAAATTCACAAAGAAAATTTGAATTTTGTTAAAAACAAGTTCTTACAAACCATTATCCCAATTAATTTATTGAAAATATACTAGTGTTGAAAGTAATCAGTTAACAGATATTTATGATAACCTTTTAGAAGAAACCAAATAGTTTCCTGCTATCCTTTTCTACCTTTTCCCTCCCTAAAATGTAGTCCACAGCCATTGCAACAAATAAAAATGGTAAACGCTGCAGAACAAAAGGCAAGCTTTCATTTTGTACTTTGAACAAATTTATCTATAACCTTAAGGAATGAAAACAATATAGATATAGAAACATTTAATTTCTGTGCCACAAAATGGCATAAACCAATTTTCTCTGTTTATGTTTAGAAGGAGGTAAAAGGTACATTTCTCTAGTAGTTTATGAAGTAACAATGGTGGCAAATTCAATAAGATAATTGCATAATTTTTCATGACACCTTGATGCTTAAAATTGCTGACATGGAAAATTTTCAAAAAGTGGCTTACATTTTGCCATTTCACACTGATTTATGAAATTGAAATCGCTTCTAAGATTGTCAAAAAATATTGAGACGGACAGTTTGAAATGGTAAATACACAATTAAAATAACAAGAAATATCTAATACCTCGAATCAGTCATCTTGAATTCCTCCAAGTCCACATATATACAAGACACAAGTCGTTCGTAGTCAGTTTATTCCTTATATATTTGTATAATCACAAAATAACTCTGAAACAATCTTACACTATTTCACCGCAGGTGCACTTACACAAGACATTATTTAACTATACACTTGACGTATATCAGCTTGTGACGGTTTTATTCAATAGGAAGTTTGAACGTCCCCAGTGACAACACCATAGCGGCTTTGATGCTCTCGATTGGATGAAACCATGAAACTGAAACAGCTGATATAAGTCTACGATAAAATAAATCGTACTATAAGAGGCGTGAAACTTCTGCGCGTGCGCAGAAGATCGAGAGTGCTTTACGTTCGAGGTAGCACACACTCCCTATTGATGTATCAAGCGGAAAACAGAGCACTCTCACTGTCTATAACGGGGAAGGGTTGGGTAGCAAACTGGAGTGAGCATAAACATTTCTGGGAGCATTAGTAAGTTTTTGGTTGTATTAAGCAGTTGTCGAGGTTTGTGTTTCTTGTAAAGTTTGCTAGGAACAATATTTGTTTCCTTTCGACTTGTTTCGAGCATTAGGAGCATTACTCTATCATACATACTATCTCTCGTGAGCAACAAAGTGTCACTAATAAATATAAAGGAAGTAATAGTTCAAGCCAAAATAATGAAAAAGGGTCGGGATATTTTGAACGCTAGTAACAAAACTAAAGCAATGTGGAATATCGTAAAAAATGCGACCACATCGTCTCAATACTTATCAAAGAATATTGTTTTAAAGGATAGTGAGAGAGAAGCAAGTAATTCGAAAAAGTTGCAAATTTCTTCAACCACAACTTTTCTAGAATTGCAGCTGATCTAACGAAGGGACTCAACCCCAATATTCAACATCATATGCTTCAGAATAACATTTCGACACGATGTTTATTTCCGAAACTTCTTCCTGTAAAATCCTCAGATTAGTCAAAAATCTAAAAAATAAATATTTAATAGGTTTTGTTGAATTTTAGAATTGTTTTTTAAAAGCCTTGTGCACTAGTCTTTATACACCTGTTAACTCACATTTTCAATACTTCTTTATTCATAATTTCTCACAATGCAATTTCTTTTTGTTAGTTTTCTAAAAAAAACAATAGAGAGACTTTTCTATTTGCGAATGGAAACTTTTCTTAGGAAATACGTTTTAGAAAATAATCTACGGAAACTGCTATTTTTTTTCTTTTCTTGAAGATGTGGCTTCATATTGATGAATTTGATCCATTGGGATTAAATGAAACGCGTATTGGAATATATTCTCATAGTTCCGGAACGAAATTAAAAATTACGCGCTTATAGAGCGATGACAACGGGCTCCCCGAATCTAACGCCTTGTCAATCATGCAAATCGGATGAATAGGAGCGCCGAAAAGTCGAATTTGCAAAACCACCTCACCCCATTCTCCCTCCACCACGGTGCGACACGGGTGCACGAGCAGAACAGCCTTCGTGTATTGAGTGAGTGCGCTGACGGTCGGGGTGGGTGGGGTGGGGTCCATAGGCGAGAAGCCGCCGCCAGTGTCTGAACAGGGTGCGGTGCGTTCTGGTCGTTGCACACTGTTTAAGAAAAGATATCGATTACTGCAGAGAAGTTATTGTGGAACTAGGATTGTCGAGGTTGAAGAGCGTAATAGTGTAAATATCACCAATATTCCGTCTCATTGCATTTTATTTTGGATAGAAACCTATTTTACTTTTAACATCTTCCGTTATTATCTCACAGCCGGAAAGAATGAGCAGAGATTACGCACGAGCTCTTTTTATCTTATGACTCGAATTTTTGGTCTCAATAGTCGTTAATCTCTTTGATAGAATTCACATGGTGAATCTGTTTTGCCAAGTAAAATAGCCTAAGCTAATTTTAGCTAGTGGTGCTACAGAATTGCCCAGACTTTCCCGTAATCGTTCTTTATTCTGTTGGTCTGGGCTAGCTATTCTGACGTCCTTCTTTGCAAAGAATCGTATTTGAATATCTTGTTTTTTCCGTGGCGCTTCCAGTATATAAAAGTGATGCCATCCTCTAGCCTGCCTTGTCGAAGTTAAGGATCTTCCGCAAAGATTTCAATTTCCACCAATAACCTTCTGTCTCGATGTTGAAGTTCCGTTCACTTTAATGTCTTAAATCCTATGTTAAATATTTTATAGTGTTCACATAATTAATTATTTGTGAATGCCACAGGTGGATATCTCTACTGAAGACTATTTTAATTTTTTCATTCACAATAGTTACATGTTATACAGCTCGAACAGTCAAAAATAACTTTCACTGCTCGTGCCCCTCCAAAGCTACAAACATTTCTCCGCCTGCCTGTGCTTTGCCTATATATATATATATATATATATATATATATATATATATATATATATATATACCATATATATATGGTAGCGGTACAGAATTATTAAGATAAATTAAATTGAGTAAAGTAGATTTAAGAAACTTTTTAACTGAAGAAAAACATACGGCGTTACGCGCGCAGTCCCCCCTTCTTGCAACAGCCACGATCCCCTGACCCATTTCGGATGTTTATGACACCCCACCCAACGGCCGAAGAAAGAGTAAATTGTCAGGCGCCCCGCTGCAGTTCCATCTGGAATACTTTCGAAACGCCTGTCATCGTGATCGGGGAAACCCAAAGCAATAATTCAGTAGCCGGGAAGCCCCTTCAAAGACGTGGCCTACTTCCGAGATGGTAGAGAAGAACACCATGCTCCAAGAGAAACAGAGAATGGAAAATTCTTATACTCCGCCGGAGCTTATTGGCCAAATTTAGTGTACAACGCCATCACCTTTAGCCAGTAGCGACGCGATCGTAGTAGGGCACAAGAACATATGAGGAGAAAGGGTGAGGATAAAAGTTAACTTCGTGCATTTATGAGAAACAAAATGTCAGTTGGTTGAGAGACTTCTCTGGGGTGGGAGCTATTCGCGGGGAGAGGCGAGTGCGCCTCTGAAAGCACTTGGTTGAAACACTGGGGTGATAGACTGGAATTCTCAGTGAGAATTTTAGAGGAAGTGCAAAAGCACTTCAAAAGTAAATTGGCAAATCTTTTATGATTGCGTATTCGGTACAGGATTTCGCAACTTCTGAATTTGTATTTGAGAGGATTCGCATAGTTCAGAGGGAAACATTGTTGTGTGCTCCGCACCTGCGACCGGGGGCAATACACCCCGACGACATCTACCTACTCCGCCGGGCAGTCTCCAGACGACCCCTCTCCTGACGTCACGGACTGCCGCAGACTCCGCGAGCCGCTGCCAGCCGCCCTGTTGGAGAGGGTGCACGCCATCCCTCATTCCAGCGAAGGTCGCCCTGGCTATCCACAAGCTCCGCCGTGCCCGCCCGGGCTCATCGAGCACATCTGCCACGGAGGGCTCTCAGGCAATGTAACTGGGGGCAATAAATCTTTGTTTGAAAATATTATCAAAGCGATGCCGCGCCAAGGCACAGAAAGGTCCTCAGGGACAACTCTGTAAATCTAACTATAAAATAATTTTGTACTCTTCTCTAGATGTAAGCTTTCCTTTTAATTTTAATCTTTATTTTTTCTTTTTATTCAATCTTTTCTTTCTTTTATTTTATTAATGTAACTTCCCTGGTACAGCTTTGTTCAGGAATAAACGTTGTCTTTTACCAGTAATCAAATTGTTTATTTTGAATGCCCATGCATGCTTCAGCTTACAATGCCTTCCATCACTGAATCTTAAGTTAAGGAAAGTGTTACAATTGGCTAATTTTTAAACGAGTAAAAGGGAATAGGACCGACTGAGCTAATACCGGGCCGCTAGCCGCGCATTTTCCGACGATCCCACGTCGCCGGGAGATGAGTGGAGGTGTTACAATTATTTGCGCATTCATTATTCTTTTAAAACCTGTCTGCCTTCATGGAGCTCGTTGCATTTTTAAATCCTCGCCTGAGATATGACATTCACACTATATTTTTCACACTAAACTACCCAAAATGTTTAGAATGTGAAAAATCTAATAATACGAAAATGCCATCCACAATATTTCTGCAAGCCTCCCTTCATTGATATCTTGGCTGACCGGGTGGGGCCGCGTCAACGGCTGAGTTGCCGACATATTGATCATCTTCTCGTGGTCTGTCTGGGCGTGCCTGGGACGGAGTGTTCTTTCTTTCTTTCTTTCTTTCTTTCATTTTCCCCTCACCAGTTACCCTGGAGAGGCGGAAATTTATTTATGTTAGGATACACAGTTCCTCCAGTCGATGAGGCTTTTGCAGATTGCTAGGGCGGTATCTTAAATAAACGAACTTACACTAACTTAAAACTAATTACATTTCCGCTTTGGGAATTGCTAAGGTTTGTTAACTTATCATAATGTTTATTTTAATTCTTTATATTGTTCTTGTTTCTTTTTTGGTCATTTTCACACGCATTCATTCCTAGGCTATATTTACAATCGCATTAATTCATTCATACCCACACACTATTTACACTGTTTCGTTTCGCCACGGCGCCGACTTTATTCAATTGTCCCTGGCGCCGCGACGTCTTCGTGTTCGGCGACGCTGGTCTGGCGGAGCGCGTTTCCGCGCCGCCCGCGCTGTTTCCGGCACCAGTGAGCGGCGATCCCCTCCCATACACTTGCTGCTCCCCCGCGTCGCAGAGCTCAGAGAGCTTGTGCCAAGGCAGCGCGCGGAGTGGGCCCTTTTTCCTGTGGAAGGCCCTGCGCACGCCGCTTTGCCGGTGTCGCGCAGGAAGCGCGGAGCGGACGGTCTCAGCGCGCTTGAGAGCGTCGACTCCGCCGGGAACTGGTTCCGCACGCCTAAGATTCTGAAGACGTCAGCATTTTGGGGAGTTCGGTCAGGTCTGGTAAGAGCAAGTGCGGGCGCGCCGCGAGGGCTCTGTTCTCTGCTACCCGGATGGGGTGCAGAGTGGAGGGAGAAGCTGCCGCGAATACCTCACAAGCGTACGCCCACAAGGGACGTACGCAAGCACTGAATAAGCGGCGCTTTAGAGGAATTGCGAGGTCAGGGAAACGGAATGGTCAGCGCTCGGGTTTATATATATATATGTGTGGGGGGGCAAGTATGATTCAATCTGTGTTTAAATACTGGTAAAACCTTTATCCAATCAAATTTTGGTTCGAATTTCAAATTTAAAACTGGTTTTACGTTTCTTCACTATCGTCCACTTTCTTTAAAATTCTGAAAAAAATGTTTTGACACATTCTGGGGGGAAATGAGAGAGTACATACAAATTCTTAAGTGCTATGAAGCGTTTTTGAAATTAGTATTAATACCTTTCATGACCCTAACTGCCTGTCGAAGTAGGGTAATCGCCGCGCCCCTCCGGTCCTGCAGCTGTTAGGCCCGCAACAAACTACACCCAGGAATGTGTTTCCAGAAATGTGCGACCTGTAAGGATAATCATGAATACAGAAAGATAGAGATATGCGGAAAGAGACCAGCGAGGCCGCGTCCACACACTAGAATAACATGCCATAGCATCAGCACTTTTTATCTTCTGCGCGTGCGCAGATGCATTTAAATGGTGCGATACTTGAACTGAGGCATGAGCAGAAGATCGATAGTGCTTTAAGGTTCTTGGTGGTACAAACTCCCAAATATTTCTTACGCCGCGAGAGAACCCCCTCCCAAAATGGAGTGTCCGAGAAAACTCGCTCGCTGACAGACCCTTTCGCCTCCGCAGAGGCTAAAGGGAAAACTCAATTGTGTGGAGGTCGATAAGTGTTTTTTGGTTCTATTTTCAGATTTCTGGAAACATTATCCGGTGTAGTCTGTTGCGAGCCTTACTCTGAACCGTACAGCCGCTATCAGCCTGCTTGACGGCAGGGTGTTAATTGCTTCGGGCATGTAGCATATATACTTTGGTTTTTATTTCTTGGCGCGCGAGGCCTTGTATTCACGGTGGAATATCTCATGGTATTTCACCTCTCTGTCGCGCCGCTAGACGTCGTATGATTGCAACCGTATCAGTGCTGGCGATCATGCGACACCTAGCGGCAAGACCGTGAAAGATGTTAACTTGTTACATGATCACTTGTTTAGCGATCTGTCATTTTGGCTCATTCTTCTACAATTCGAGGTGGACTGGACTAGTGTTGGTAACGAGTGATTGGATGAAACCAACGGTTCTTTCCCGCCTTTTCAACCGTTGGAATCGTTTGACCCATGATTACTTCGTAGTTCGCCATTCTCCCGTACACGAATTTACAGCGTTAGTGTGTCAATGGTTTTGTAAGTATTTAGTCGTTATAATAAAGCTTTTATTTTATACTTTGGCTTTGCCTTACGAAAATACTGTCTCAGTTATTTTTCATGTACATTGCCACGGCATTTTCCCGCGTTTCCAATTGTTCATAATTTATAAATCACAAATTCATACAGTTATCTATACGTAAGAACTCACTTCATAAATATACCATGAGTAATATACTTCTTCCATGCATTTATTGTTTATTTGGAACTTTGGATTAATTGGACAGTTTGACATATAAAATTACATTGATTTAATCGATCCATGAAGGATTATTATGACCGTTTCTTACGAGGTGTACTAAAATTCTATTATTTATAAAATGTTAATTACGTTATTAATTAATATCCATTTTCTCAAGGAAGAGCCAAAAAACCGCTGGAGTATACCAGATCCATGATACTGTAACAAGTTTCCTTGTAAAAGTATCATGGATCTAGTATACTCCAACGGTTAGTTTTTTTCAACGTTTGAAAATTACTCGTACTCCCGGTTCAATCAACAGCTGGGGCCCTCCGGATACCATCACTAGACGGGACCTAACTAAAGGAATAATTTATTAATATAACTTTTAAATCTCTATGTAGGCATATTTCAATTGTACTGGTATTAACATTAAATTAATTGCCGTTAATTACATCTTAAAGTATTTGTCAATTTTTTTTTGTTAAAGTACAATGTTTCTTTCACGTGTGGCAATTTAATGTCATCTTCTGGACATCACATTGTGGGCTGGAGTTGCCTCAGGTTGTTGTTCTAAGGGCCGAATTCGAAGTTCTTTGCAACCGAGTTTACACACGCACTTCATCTTGTACAAAGAGCGTCCAATTTACCAGAGGGTAGACACTCCAACGTAGAGTTTACATTGCTCGCACGACGTAAAACTTCTATCTCTAATATGACATGCAGGCAAACGAGATGTTTTGGTATTAGTACATTTTACTAATGCGCTTACTACCAACCACTAATTACAAGCATATTTGTAACAATATAATGATTATCATATAATTTCAATGACTATTTGACACCGGTATCATGTAAATGTTAAAAATATAATTCATGGACTTCGTATCAAAATTTTAATGAATCTTCGCAATGTCTTGTGCATTTACACATTTATGTGTATTATTAGATTGTAATATATTTAACATTAGTTTCAATTGATTCCACACCAAGAACTTATGCTCTACTATAACTATTGTACATGGTATGAACATAGATCTGCCAATATTCATAATGAATAATTAACATTTCATGTAATTGAAAATGTCAACCTCATATAGTATTAACATAAATTCCATTTGACAATTTAAATTACTTATTGTTATTCATATTGCAAATTCATAATTACTTATAATAGGTCTTATAAATCAGAAATGAATAAGTTAAAAATTTTGGAAACATTCCTGAAAGGATGAAGTTGGATAAAATCGGAATGCTACAAACTTTTAATAAGGGGGAAATCGGCAGTCCTGTTAGTCATTGGGACTTCGTCGATCATCGGCACAAATGCAGCCATAACAGTAGTTTTATTGAAACGAAACCTCTTTCGAAATTCTTTATCATTGTAAATTTCCAATGGGTTGCTCATATCTCTAATACATCTCTTTGAATTTCGCAGGATGTGTTAGGCATAAAACTCAAAATAATCTAGTAAGTCGTTTTCCATAACACTTTCTTCTAAATAGCATTGGTTTAAGGTATCTTCAAAACCCGTATTTTTCATGTTTCGTATTCTTAAGGGGGGGTCGTCCGGTCCATCGCCCTCCATTTAGTTCAGCCCAGTCAAGAACGTTTAACCACTTTTTCGTTACGAAGGTCCAGAAAATCGTTTTCACCCGTAGCATTACAATACCTGATCTATACTGCGTCGGCGTCCCAGCTGACCAAACGTAAATTGTTTCACTTATAATCGGAAAACGCGGGACCTACTTACCAATTTATCCATCTGTAACTTGATGGGGCATTTGTATTCACATTATAATTTCCTTACTTTTCTCTTTAAGATTAAAGGCAAGGGTAGCCCGCTGTCCCCTATTATAAGTTTCAAATTTTAGACCGCTGACTATAAGATTAGTGGATTGAAATTAAATTACACAAAGATTAACCAATGGTACATGGCATGATAATAACTTGCAGAGCAAGTAAATATGATTGAGTTGTGACCTTTCTCAATATTGCTCTTAAGTATTATTTACTATTAAATATCTTAACTGAAGAAAACAGGATGTCCCCAAGTACATGCTGCCAAGAAGCATTACACAATAATTATTTAATTTTATAGTCAAAATAAATCCTCACAGCATGCAGTCATCATTCTTGTTTAAAGAATAATGCTCCCTTATCACAACTGAGATTAAATGATTTCAATTTTAATTTTTTGTTCACCTTCTTCAATTTCTATAAAATTAAAGTAATTTTTATTGTAAAATTTCTTCCCACAAAAAAACAAGAAATATGTGTGAAAAAAAAGCTCTGCTTAAAAAAAAAAAAACACCCTTGTGGTGCCTATCATATATACAAGATAAAATCTTGTTCAGTTAATTAATTTACTTTCCATTTTCGGCATGCAACTGTACCTTTCAGCTGGAATTTTATTTGAAACACAGCAGCAGCGGCAGTAGCAATTTTACTATTTTTGCAAGAGAACCTGGACATCAGGAAGGAGTGAACACAGAGCTGGTGTGCACTTCTGCCAATGAAGCAGAGCACTTAGTGTGAGCTACATGAAACATGGCACCAGGACATTGAGGCAGCATAATGTAACAAAAATCGAAACAGCAGCAAGGGCAGGAAAAGGGGACATCTCTTACAAAGGGAAAAACCATAGAAGCACATGGTACTATAAGAGTATTTATTTATCGTTAACACTCACCTGTGGCAGATATTAACACCAAGTTACAAGTGAAGCTTTGCTTTAGCACTGTATACAAAACACTGTTCTTAGAGCCTTCAACCGAGAGGAATGAAGTCCAAGTGTCCTGTAGATAAAACTTGGGCAATTGTCCAAATTAACACTAGCTGTCACAAGTGTACCGTTTGTTTCACAAACACCACTGTCTGTAAATGCAATAATTGAGAATTTCTTTAAAATAAATAATGCACATTTCAAGACACCAGCTCTCTGTTGGGCATCTGCTCCTCAGGATGGGCAGGGTTTATTATGTGGCAAGGGAGATGAGATTTATCTTATTTATAAATTACTTACTAAACACTAAGTAACAATAGTATGTATTTTCATTACTACGATAGTCACTATGGTTAAATAAAACATCAGCCATTCATAGTAGACCCTTTACAACCTTTACAAGATTTTTATTCGACATGTTTGCACAACATGATTGACTATGTACAGACATGTCAGAAATGTAGTTGTAGCTTTCACAATGACTTAATTTATCAAATATAAAAACAATTGGCCCATTACAAAAGAAAAATTTGTGGCAGAAACTGACAGAACTACACTGAACATGTACATTTATACACAAAAAGAAACGCAATCAGTTATTTGGTTTGCAACAACTTTAGAAAATTATACATTAACTCCCTATATACTTACTTCGGCCAGCACCAGAACATTCTGCAGTGCACTATTAGGTAAGTGCTTCAATACTGAAGATAGTTTATAAACATGACTTTTTAACACATTCCTGCTTATAATTTCAGGATATAAAAATAATAGAACCTTCCAGATATTCCACTTCAAACAAATGGTACTGGAATAATGGGTACAAGATCAAAGAAGAAAATAATTTAACACATACAATACTAAAAATTCATATCAAGAGAGGGACATTATAAATAATCAACGAATATTTTTAGGGCAGATCAATTTGTAAACTTGCGACAAAATACATTCACTCACACTAACAAAGCTATATCAGATCATAAGTCCTCCTGTCCTGAGCATCAGATGCTCAGTCAATACAATTATGTAAGTAAACCTGTGTGGCTGGGAGACGGCTATCACAGAACGCACAGTCAATAATATTAAATACAAAAAGAAACAAAAACATACAAACACAAACAGTGTAAGGTATAGAAGTATAACAACTTCATCTCAAGTTTTGCTACGTTTCGCTTCCTTCATCCTCGTGTGCTGATTGTTCTGCCTTCCTCGCTGCCTCTTTCGCTGCAGCATCTGCCGCCGCAGCAGCTGCAGCTCTGGCAGCGGCAGCAGCTGCTGCACGACCTGCACTCGAACGCAGAACCTTCCGTTCCACAGGTGGCTCTTGTGCAACTTCTTCTGATCGCGTCACAACCTGCTTGCCCTTTTTGCTGCTCCTCCGTCGCCCACCAGGAGTCTTCTTGGAGCTGCTGCTGCTGCTGCTGCTAGCGCCAGCATCAGACAATTCAACCGGGGGCTCCTGCACTGGAGAAGTCGTTTTCTCCTCGTCAGCAGTTTCCGATGAAGATGGCGGTGGTGGGGGTGATGGTGCTGGTGCTGGTGCTGGTGCAGTTGCTGGAGGGGAAGGAGCAGGAGGGGGAGGAGGAGGAGGAAGAGATGGTGTTGGTGATGATGCTAGTTGAAGTAGCGGCTGTTCCTCTTGTTCTGGTACTCTTTCGCTCTCTTTCTCTTCCTGTTTCTGGGTTGGTGGGGGAGGTGCCTCTGTCGCTGATGGTGACTGTAGTGGTGCTGTGGATGCCGGTGGTGTTGGTGGTGACTGTGGAGGAGGTGATGTTGATGGCAATGGTTGTATCTGTGGTTGTGGCAGCAACAAAGGTTGTTCCATTTTGTCCTCATGTTTTTCAGTTGTAGGCTGGACATCTAAATTGGATTCTGTAGCCACCTGTTGAGGTGATAAGGCAACAGGTGTACTGCACTGCTCAGAAGCTGGAGGAATTGTATTTTGTAATTTGGTTGTTGCAACCGGAAGCGAAACTGGCACTGATTCCAAGTCAGATATTTCACTCTTACTTGTTGCTGCTGATACTGTAAGTGATGCTGGTAGTGATACTGCTGCTATTGTTGTAGCTGCCAGTGCAGCAGCAGTAATGGGAACCAGAGTAGAAAGAGTTCCTTGCGGAGCAGTGAGAGGAGAAGAAGCTGTCTGCCCTGGAGAGGATGGTTTCTCCATGTGAGGAGATGGTGAAGGTGAGATATGGGATGCAGGTAATTGTGTTGAAGGGGGCACTTGTGTTACAGGAAGAGAAAGTGGAGACAAAGCCGGATGAGGTGATGAAGGTGGGCGAGCTGGAGGTTGAACCGAAGGAGGTCGAGGGAGGGGTGGCTGAGGGGGAGGAAGGACCAATGACTCAGCTGATTCCTTTGTTTTTTCTTCTAACAGGTCTCTCATGGCAGCATCATCCTTGGGATCCATTTCCTTGAGACGTTTTGCTTGAGGAATATCACCAAACGGTGTCTCTTGGGCCACACGTGAGAGATCATCCAAACTTGTTAACATGTCTCGAGGACGTTTAGCTAATCTATCAGCTGCTGCAAGATTCATGGATGTTTTACACAGATTCTCCAAAGCCTCTTTCATTTCATTTTCCCGAGCCCTTTTAAACCATTCCTCTGGCCTGGGAGCAAATTCTGGCATCATGTTACGCAATAAACTCTCTGCCATTTCCTTCTGCCTCTCTGCTTCAGTTTTCACTCTTTTTGCTGGCTTCTCCTCAAGGCGAGCTGTTAAATCCATAATTGAACTACCACGACTCAAGTTTTCAAAACTTTCTAATTTTCTATCCACTTCCCTCATACGCTTTTCACTATTACTCATTTCTTTACGCTTCTCTGACGAACGGAGAGCGGCTTCCATTGACGCTCGACTCAGACTTTCAAGCAGTTGAGTATCAGGTGGCAAAAGAAGCTGCTGCAACTGCTGCCTCTCCAGCATATCTCGAGCAGTTGAAGACGAAGACCGCTGATGCCTATGATTTGAAGCCGATGTGGTCGCTGCTGCTGCCGCCGCAGCTGCTGCTACTGCTGCTGCCGAAGAGCTCGGAGTTGTTGCTGTTGAAGCACGTGAACTGCTCTGGCTCTTGTGGCTTGAACTACGAGAACTATGGTTCTGGGAAGAGCTGGCAGTAGAGGCAGTTACACCTAAACTTCCATTGAGCAAACCACACTGCTGTGCTAAACTGTCATATGCTGATGACATTGCACCGGGCTGCATGGAAAAGGGGTTAAGGCCACCCAGCCCCAATGGTGTGTACAGTAAACTTGGATTTGGAAAGAAGAATGGCAAGGCAGATGTAGGAATATTTGATGCAGACGTTGTTGGAGGCTTGTTTGCATGCGCTCTTCCTGGGTCTACTTCTTTCCGGTTTTTGTTTTTGTTGCTACTATTGGAGGATGATCCTCCCAAGTCAGTGCTTCCAGAGTCTAATCCAGAAAGTGACGGCAGACCCAATCCAGCCAAATTAGCAAAGAGTGAGTTTGTGAGGTTCATGTTACCTGCCAAACCACTAGCAACATTTCCTAAACCGCTCACACTAGGTAATCCTCCAGTGGCAAACGGTAGTAACAATGGATTGTTTTTGGGATCAAATCCACCTAGGCCGGACAGTCCAGAGAGCAATGATGGACTAAGACCAGCAGACAAGCTGCTCAGCCCTGCTGCCCCAAGAGAGGGGAAAGGCAAGGAACTTGAGCCCAACTGACCGCTTGGAGTTGGGGGACTTGAAAGCAGTGGAGGTCGCCCAGGTCCTTTTTTGCGTTCACTAGCAGGCAATCGCTTCTGTAAGTCATGGGGCAAATTACCACGCTCTTTCACTAATTCTGCCCACTTAGGATCCACATCAAACATAGGATTTTCTAGAAGCCACTGCGCCAACTGCTTCAGTTGTGGAGCCTTACTGCCTGTAATCTGAAACAAGCATCAAAATAGCCTGTAATTCCAACTCTTCAGAGCTCAATTTACTTCCCCCCCCCCTTTCCCCCCTTTTTTTAAGAACAACCATGTACCTTTTTTCCTGTTATCCTGTTGATGACTGAAACATTTTCATCGCCAGTAAGTTTCTTCCAATCCAACAAAGAAGGGTCAACTCGAGGTCGTCTTCGTCTTGGGATACCGAGATAGTCAACACCTAAACCTGCTCCACTTGCACCTGGATCTGGCATCAGAGCAGTCTGTTCAGCTAACCACTTGTTTACCTGCCAATGTTAGAGAAAATCAGTCAAAGAATGATAAGTATAGGAAAGTGAACCAGTAGTGAGTTTGCTCACCTCAACAATGGTCATTAGTCCTGTAAGGAAAGTGCATGTTATATTCCAAGATTGCGTCAAGGGCAGAGAAGGAAGTAGCATGGTTGTCAACTAGATAAACGAAGAAAATAATTTAACAAAAACTTGATTGAGCAACCAGTCTGAAGTGTTCAACAAAATAATGAAAGTGATGAAAACAGTGAAGTCAGGGTGACCAAGTGGAAACAAAAATATAATAATAATAATAATAATAATAATAATAATAATAATAATAATAATAATGTCTTTATTAATGGCGAGGCTCAGGCCATAGGGCCTGCTCTTCCGCCTAACCACTGAAATTACATAAATATAGGGTGGCAATTTATGGAGGTAGTAGTAGAAAAGGACTGGCAGTGAAATTACATGAAAATTTGAGTGATGGGATGTACTAAAATGATGGAAAATGTTAAACTGAGAGCAAAATTCACAAATCCTATCAAAGAAATTACAAATGATGAAGGTGAAGTAATATTAGTGGGTTAAAATTATGTGTCTTGCAATGGAGTTAAGACTGGGTTATAAAAATTACTGAGGACAAATTATAGTAGTTAAACTGTGCTTTCAAAATTATCCACACAGTTTTGAACCTAAACCGAGTTCTTGGATCAGCACAAAGGTAAGAAAGACCAACAAAAATCTAAAACTTCATATCCAAATGTAACCCATCTTGATGTAAACCTACACAGGAGGCAACAAACAAGACATGAATAACATTCACATAATAGTGGAAAGAACTATTTAAGCAGTTTTAGCAGATGCTAAAAAACATATAATCAACAAAAAGAAATATATACTGTGACTATAGACAAATGTAAAAATGTTGAAGCAAAACAGACCGGGAAGTAGATACACCCTGTGGTAGTGTGAATGTAGAAAATTCAATCCTCAGAGTATGTCACCAAAATATACAATGGTACATTTATCTACACATATAAACAAAAGGAAATGTGCATGTCTGTTGCATACAGATGTAAAAACATGACTAAATTTTCACACCATGTTCTCATTAGTTTCAGGAGCATTTAAGGAGTGGTTTGAATTAAATTAGACATGAGGGGACGATGTTTTTGAAAAGTTAATTTACAAGGCCAGCTTTATACTGTTCCCAGAGGGACTTGCTTGAAGTGTGATCCATAACTAAGGAAGCTATTAGAATTATTGGAATTTAAAGGCACAAAACTCAAATCTTGATGACTTCTGAAAAAATTTGAAGAGGGATTAGAAAGATGAAATAATAAAATAGTAATTTTAGGTGACGTAAACATAGATATAATAAATAGTAGATTGAGAGATCTAATTGTATGTTCTAATGTACATGATATAGTGCTAGCATCTATTCTCCATCACAGAAGAGATGCAAGATAGAAATCTGAGACAACTAAATGAAACTTAACAAAATATGATTGGAAAGCAAGAGAAATTACAATAGAAAGTGGAATCTATTTTCTTAACATATTTAATAAACACATGAACTTTGCAGAAATAAGAACCACACTTCTGCGCACCATGGACCTAAGACGCGCGGCTAAGAATCCCCGCGTAAAGGGCCCTAATATTTCTTTCAACAACAACACCTATTATAGAAAAATAACATAATGGTTATAATAGCACTGTACATTAACAGAAATAATACTAATGAAAAAGAAAGGCACTAGTATACATTTTACCCAAAATGAAGAAATGTATACTACAATAAGAGAGGTCAGCAAAACCACCACAGTGTACATTCTTCTAAATCCTTAGCAATTAGAGACCCATACAGAAATCTGCAGTACTGTATGATTAATTTCCAAATTATATGTGAAACAAAACCTATTGAAAAATTATCTAATTGATAGATGTCCATATAGTTCAAGTGCATTTTGATGCGAGATATTATTTTACTTAAACATAATTCAAAATGAAAATTGATCACCTGATGCAGCTGTGTTATAAAACATAATCAATTTAGATTTTATATCCTGATACACTGTACATCTACATCATTTCTTCTATGTATTTGTCAATTTTAAAAATTTTGTTAACTAAGACTGAAACTTCTGTACATATGTCTAGTATTGATTGGAGAAACCACATAATCTTACCACTAATCAGAGCCGCTAGATGCAGTAATTCTACCCCACAGAGTGATTGAATTTAGCCTAGCTATGTAGCTAGTGCTAAATATTTGCTATTGTCAGGATTTGAATTCTAGAACCTCCCAGGCAGCAATGGATGCTGTTACTAATGCAAAGGAAAATGTGGTGTCGGTGGTGTAGTTGGCTCTCTATGCCAGATGCTTTTAAATAAAATTTTACAGCAGTAAAGAGAAACTACATTAGTATCAAATGTATGATTTAAAAGCACATGAAATTAAAATGAACACACGGTCAGACTACTAAGAGTACAAACTTCGAAGTGATTTTCCCTGAAAAGCATTTACACATACGCCTTTTCCAAAGACCACACAATTATAATAATTTAATGCTTTCTCACCTACTGTTTACGCAGTATATAGTTTTATAATGCTGCAGGAATTTCCCGCACTTTGTTTGATGCTGTCAGTTTGTAAAACGGCAATACAGTGGTTTCAAATTATTTGAATTATTCTCATTGTTACTGGTTGTGATGATATGTTGTAGACAATATTCTTATAAATGGAAGTAGATCTAAGAAAGGTAATACACATTTTTTACTTGAAGCTTTTATTGCTATATGTTAAAATCGGAAGCTCACTTCCATGTAACCAAGGCAAGATTGTGTGAAATTATTCCTGCTTATCTAGGGAAATGTTCTGCAAAACTGTAACAGTTAAATATATTTATGTTTTCGTTCACATTTGGAAAAGTAAGAAATGTCTGCTGTTTCCCACAATCAAAACAAATGCAGATAGGTCCCTCAAGCACTTTTTTTTTGAATAGGTTGAATTGGACTTAGAAGGTTTAGTTAATTTTTAGTAGGGTAGAAAACGCAAAATTTCAATATTCCGCAACTGTTTCCAACAATACAAGAAAGCAATTGCTGTTATAGCACCTCTAGTTTATTTTAGCTACTTTCAAAGCAACTTTTCTTTTGATAAAAATCAACTCCTCATTTTCCCCCTGCTTTTTGTATTTTTTTTTGTGCCCAAGATAAATGCACTTCCTTTAAAAACTTAATTTAAAAAAATAATAATAAAATAAAGCTGAAAAAAATTACCTTAGCTTCATGTGAGTAGGAGCTTATTTTTGAGAAATCAGCCATTTTTGTAAGGTCTGCAATCATGGATTCATAAGTTTTCCTCTGGGCCTGGGCAGACACTGCAGCAGCTGACTGAGACAAATTATGCTGTTGCTGTTGCTGTTGCTGCTGCTGCTGCTGCTGCTGCTGCTGTTGCTGTTGTTGCTGTTGTTGCTGGTGATGTTGCTGTTGTTTCTTGAGGAGAAGATTCTGTTGTTCAGCCTGGGCTAACAGAGCTGAGAAGCTATCTTTTGGAGAAGGCAATGGTGGAAGACCAAGACCAGTCGAGCTAGTAGAGCTACGAGACGGGCCTGGCAGAGGAGAAGGAGCTGGTGTTACAGTAAGAGAGAAGGGGGAGGAAATGGGTTTAGATGAAGGGGGTGGAGTTGGACTTGGCATTGCTGGTGCAGGAGTCACAGTCACACTTGGACTCAGATTAGCAACACTTGGGGCAGAAGAAAAAACAGAGGAAGCAGCTGATTTACGCACATCTGGTGAAAAGATTGATGAAACTGATTTCTGTTCTTTTGCAGCTGAAAGTCCCAAAACAATTTCATCTAATTTCCGTCGCTTCTTTTCCTTTCCAACAACAGGTTCTTCAGCAGGCTGTAAGATAACAAATTTATTAATTTTGTACACATATATCAAACATTTGAAAAAAGAAAACATCAATAAAATTGCTTACACAGTTGTTTTTCTTCATAAGTTTCCCCAACATGTCATCTAATTTGCTAGGTTTCTGCACAGATTGTGACTGAGATGTTTGGGGAGATTGTTGAGATGACATCAGCTGCTGTTGTAGCTGTTGTTGCTGTTGCAGCTGCTGCTGCTGTTGTTGATGATGTTGATGCTGTTGTTGAGATGACGACTGCTGCTGCTGCTGCTGCTGCTGCTGCTGCTGTTTGTTTTTATTTGGCATGGAAAAGTCCTGTACTTCTGCAAGGAGATCTTTGCTGCAAGCAGCACTACTACTACTACTACTACCACTGGCAGTAATAGAGCTAGTGCCACTACCAGAGCCAGGGCATGATTTGGTTAAGGCTGGAGCAGAAAGATCAATAGGAGTCAGAGTGCTGGAAGTGCCAGGAAGTTTGTATTTCAGGTCAAAAGGAAGAGACAACACCCGTGGAGACTGCTGATGAGCTGGTGGTGGTTGAAGCACCTGTGTTACAGGAGTGGAGCGCCTGCAGAAAGAAAAGTTATCACTTAAGAACAAAATTGAATAAATAACTCCCCCCCCCCCCACCTAATAACACATATTCAATTTCTCATAATGCTTAAGCACTATAGAGTAAGTATTGTAATCCTGTAGAATCTATTATCCAACAAATTTTTCTGCAGAAACTCTTACTGCAGGCCCTGGTAACAAAAAAGTGAATAAATGTTGTTCCTACATGTTGTAAATAACTTTCTCTAACATGTATAGCCAGAATCCATGTTTTGTGGATACTTGATACTGGAAAATCAATCCATGGCAAAAAGTCAGTCTGTCCTTCCTTGGTCAATGCAAAACCCTAAACCATACCAATGATTTTCTCTAAATTGATATTCCCTGATTGTTCAGAAGCAACTTGAGGTCCTGCGAGTTTGAAATGATTATTTTAAAGGGGTGCGAGGCACTTTATATGAAACTTCAATATTTTAAAAATGTTCTCAAAAACCACATCAAATTTTTTTAAATTAAATTTTGTGCTCAGATAGCATAAGAAAGTGTTAGAAAATGGCACTGGTCTGATTTTCACCCTCATTTGAATTTGATTAAAATTTCGGATTTTTAGAAAATCACTGAAGTACAACATTTCTTTCAGTGTCTTCCTACAACTACAATGTTCAGGATGTAGATTATTTCTTCATGAAATTGGTTGATGAAAGAAGGATTTTGAAATTAGGCCATGTACAATTTTTGAAAAATGCGAGTATTTTTCACGTTATTTTGCTTGAAACATAGTCAATTCTTCAACAATGGTTCAACATTTTTTCTTTACATTTCCCCATGATTTGCATAAAAATTTGGTGGTGACCCCATTTTTCATTGAACGTGTCGGATTTTTGCAAATTGCAAAAAAATTGACAATGCAGAAGTACAATATTTATAAAACATATTTTTTACTTAATGAAAAGTGTTCTTCAAAATTATATCTTAAAATAGCCATGTACAGCTTTTTTGAAAATATGGTCTGTTTCACATAATTTTTGCAAATTATCAAAATTGCTGAATTGATGTAAGCAACTGCTGTTAGCAAAGGTGCACAAAATTTAAGAACTTCCCGTACCTTTCTCGGATCTTTCCGAAGAGTTCAGATTCCAATGGAACAATGGGAACTCTGTGACATGATAGTTTGAAATTCTCAGAATAACAACTCATTGTTGAGCATTGTTTCTGAGTGTACGAATCAGTGTTTTGGATTGTTGAATTTGTGTTGACGTATAAGCTTTAAATGAACTTAATTTTCACCCCTGCTACACCTATATAGATTGTGCGTTTTACAAGAAATGGCTAAAATGTTATAATACAGACAGAAATTACAGCATTATAATTTCATGTAATCATTACTGATGATTCAAAGTAGATGGTGTTGTAGCACCACAAGTTTTTAATGTGAATTAACACAGAAAATCCTTACTCGTGCAGGTACCTTATTGAAAACTGAAGTAGTATGGGCAGGAGCTTCCAAGACTTTGGAAGTCCTAATGAAATTTGGCTTCTACAATACTTCCCAATGATGAAAAAGTGTGCTTTCGAGAATAAAATGTTAGAGAATCACTGGTTTAACTACACACTTCAAATATGAATAGAGTTGTTAATCTTTAATTGAATATCTGAGCAGTTCAGTAATATACACGTAGGCTTCCGCGGCTCGAGTCCATTACTTCTAGGCTGTCCGGGTGACGCCGCGTCGTTGACAGATAGGCCGCGGCCTATCTGCCAACGACGCGGCGTCACCCAGACAGCCTAGAAGTAATAGTTCAGTAATAATCTAACTTACAGTTGAGGTACACTTCCTGCAGAAAGAGAGAATGTAATTTATAAGATTCAATGAGGAAGCTAGTATAAATTTCTGACGTAGGCTGCTTATCTTTATATTAATCAAGGTGAATGCCTTTCTTTTGGTGTGTAGGTGATGCTTATTTGAGAGAACCCCTCTTTCCTAAAGAATAAGAGCAGACCTTATTTTATACATGTTTTTCATGGTATACAGTTCTCTGAAGTAGAAGAAATTGTTTAAATTCACTCCAAAGCTTTAATATTGTTGAGTTGAGTAGAAGCACTTAATTTTTTTTAAGCAATATATAGATTTGCTCTTTATGAATTTGCTTTAAAAGAATTTCCATACCCATATTTACAAATAATATGACTATTACGGATCAGATGTTTATGACCTAAATATGTTAGAAATATGCAAGCATTTATGACTTAAAAAAAAGTTTGCTAATGTTTAAATAACCATTATATTGAGAATACACATTTAAAATCTAGCACATTCATAATTCACTGTTTCTCATTTCTCTTGAAGGCAATTCTACATGTTAAAGAGGTTGACCTTGGCACAAAATCCGACAAAACTAAACTAAACTAAGACTTCCTTTGTATTTGGTGCAAAACATCAATTATCAAAAATTAGATAAGAATGAGATGTGAAAAATCTCTTGGACATGACTGCGAACAAGTATGCAAAAATGGAATCAAAAAGATAAAAATATGACAAAAAATACAAAAATTCATGGAAAAACGACCATAAAATGAAATATTAATGGAAAATGACAAAATAGTTTTAAAAATCCAAAATATGATTTCATACAAAAGGCGAAAATGCTTAACTTATATTTTTCATGGAAATAACACAAAAGACTTTTCATAAACATCCGTGCCCTAATGATAATGCATCTCAAATAGAATATATCATCACCTGGGGTCTGATTTTAATAAGGTCAGATATTCTATTAGCTGCGTCTGTAGTGGGCACTGGGGGGATCGAGTATCTCAGCATCTGCCGTTACTGGGCCCAAGCCTGGCTAAAGGAGAAGGGTTGGGTGTTGGGCCAGCTCCCATCACCTTTAAAAAAGGTTAAACTGCGAAATTCAATTAAGCCTTGTAACAGTAATGTCTCTATACAACAATCAAAGCAAAAGAAAAGGTGAATGATTTTTGGAACATAAAACGATAAGACGTTGTTGCAACTAGGAAAACTACAAGAACTAACTGACCAGATGGGGGGGGGGGGGG